TCTGTTTTCAGTATAGAACAGAGGATCAGCACTTAGAAGTCGTGGTGTAGGGGTAAAAGAGGCTGTCATTTTTCTTCAACAAACCGTATCAAAAAGGTATTTTCCTGTCATCCATATGCAGGCGACAGATAGCATACTCTGTTTTAGATATTGTTCTATTACTTATGTGTAAAATGTATAAGTTAAATATTGTAATAAAACCCAATAGTGAAAGCAAAACCAAGTCAAGTGCTAGTCAGTTGCACTTACGTACCAATTTTAAATAACCTTCCGAAGAGAGTTTTGTTAAGTTATGGTACTATTTTAATATTTTTTATAGTTTTTATGATATTTACCATAAATGAGGCATATTTATATCAATCTAGAATTTTATCACCCTACACACAAAAAACAAATTCGGTGTTATTATCCTTCCATTAACAGTTTTCAGCACCTTAAACTGTAATTAAATGATTATTATATATTGGTTAAACTGCAATAATGTTTTAAAAATAAATATTTTAAATATTTTCAATATATCTATTTCCTATTTCTTTAATGACATCATTAGAATAATAGGATCCTTAAGCTCAGCTACATATTTCACTTAATAGTCGTACTTGTTGTGCTTTGAGTCATATTCTGATAATCACGGATATGTGGGTCTTATTTGCATTTTTAGTAGATTTTCTCACGCATTGCTTATTAGTGTATGTACACGATATATGACAGCATAAAATTCCACTGAATTTACCAAAATTTGTTATTATTCTTGAATGAACGTATGTATTAATCGTATATGTACTTACTTTTTAAATAAATTATGTATACCATTAATTTTTTAAGCTTTATAAACTTTATAAAAATTTTTTTAATTGATTTAATTTGAGCATTTTATCAGTTTTATTTTAGCATTAATATTACAGTCTTGAATAATTAATTAATTATTTTTAATTAAAAATTACAAGAAATCTTAAATCTACATAAATTTAAAAGTCATTGGAAATCAATGTGATTGAATTTAATATATATAATATGTGTATGTACACACTTAATTTAAATCAAAGCCGCATTTAAGTAGACAAAACATATTAGGCTTTTCGATAGGTTTAACTTCCGAACTATAACTTTTTTAATTAATATTAAAAAGTATAAATTAAATTATTAAATCATATATTAGTCTTCCCTAATAAGGGAAGAAAATCTTCGAAAGATTGCCACATAATAAATGCAAAAAATACAACCTGAAATCTAAAAAGACACTTAATCTGATTCTAACATTACCCAGTCACAGTTAATTACAGTAAATAGTTTGTAGTTATATAGACTATATATGTATGTTAAATATGAGATATATGTAGTCATATTTAGCAGTTCATACCAATATTATATCCCACCACTAATCGCAAATTCTCTACTTACGTCGCAATATGGGAGGATCGCGAAAGACCAATATAATTCCTAATAAGTCCCTTGAGATTAATAAAGATAACTCAGATCTTGAAATTAAGATCATGAACACATGAAATTAATAAGGATCAAACATAGCAATTATGAAAATACATTTTTCATTTGCACCTGACATAATGAACATATGTATGTGGTATACCACTTTCTTTGAAATTACTCTCCTTGGGTGTTTGTATAAGATTAGTTTCAGTTGAGATAGCTGAGAGTAACGAGTATCTTAAAAATGCAAACCAAAGGTGATACCTTGAAAATATAAACAAAGTAATTATATACCGCCTACAACCAAAATAGAACAAAGGTTTAGATCACTTCTCCATATTCGATGTAATTGCTCTGATAAAACGATGATATTGTCTAATAAACTTATAAGCTGGCCTGATCACTCTTAATTTTTAAAATATATATGCCTATACCGTTATCTTAATAACAGAAAAAAAAATTTTTTTTTATTTGAGTGAGGGTTTCCTTACGGGAATACATAACTTACCATGTGTTCTGATGGGACGGACAGACGGTGTAAATTATATACCGCATTAAAAATTATTAAAAATAGTTAAGAAATGAGAAGGCATAGAGGTAGACCGTGTCTCCGATAGAATGATCAAGTTGAGGGAGCACTAACCGTACTCGATGTACGGCACTGGAGAAGGCAAGCACGCAGCAGAGGCGCCTTGAGAGACATATTTCGTCCAGCCGAAACTCGGTAACGAGTTGTTATGGCCAAAAAGGTAAATAATAAAAATATATTAATATCATATATAGAATAATTTATCTTTCTGTGAGTAGTACCCGACACATCGTTAATCTATTTAGATTAATATGGTAAATCAGAAGAAATTAATTCAAGAGATTAGTACTTAATACAACGGTACTTATTGACATTAACAACGGTTATTAATGATATCTTAATAAATATAACACAATTACCTCAAACCTCAGGTATTAGTTCTATACCTGATTCCAACTATTTTGGAGAACTCACATTTTCATCAAACAAAAGGCATTGAATCACAACTTATGAAATTTATTTTTGTTTCTCATCCGAACACTGAATTAGGATTGGATAACAAGCTCAAATTATATAATTGTAGCCTAAAACGTATTTGAAGTTAAAGACCAAGATTATGAGAGATTGTAGCAATTATAAATATACTATAATTCAACCATTCAAACGCAAAACAGTACGCATAATCACAAGTTTATCGTAGTATATTACTAACAGGTAATTATAAAAAAGGCTTCAAGACTCAACAATTAAAGCAGAAAAATCGTAAATTATAATGAAAATATACCTCAGTTTCGATGAAGATTTTTTCATTGGAGCCAAATCTGTTTCCCTGAAACATTTTTCCTATCAGGCCTGCAAACTGATAGTAAACGCGGGGTGTAGCCAAAGCTGGCGAATAAGATGGGTATGGTGAATGCGAAATCAATTCAAGAAGTAATGAATGCGAATTGATGGATGCATGCCCATGATTTGTGACAGGGCATATTTTCTTAGTGAAAAATATTTCTTCTTCATTTGGGGCACTTGTTTCAAAATTTTCTCCATCAAACCTGACATTTTTTCCATGTAACGATCGTTATTGATAGACTAGACTTTTTTAAGGTAATCAGTTTCTTTATTTCATAAAAATTTGTATTTTATAAATATAAATATAATTATATATATTATAACATATAATATGATAATTATAAAACATAATTTTATAAAATGTATGTGGTTATTTTATTGTTGGCATCATATCCATTCAAATCTAATTATTTAATTATATCGAATGTGATATATGACTGAGAAAAATGTATTATGCAAGTTAACTAATATTTGTTAGCTTCTCAAAAATTGGTATTTTAAACAGATCATTTCATCACAATTAATTTTATAGGTCACAGTAGTGTTACTTACTCTGTCAATCAGGCTGCTCTTAAAGCTCTTTATTCTTTGACTTTCATGTCGAAACAGGTCCTTAATTGTTATGAGCTACTACAGTTACTTGCAGCTCGGAATAAGGTTTGTCTTTACTGGGTTCCGGGTCACAAAGAAGTTTTGGGATGAACAAACAAGCTGATGAGCTAGCCAGAACTGCATCAAAAATGGTTTTTATAGGCCCTCAACCCTTTTATTAGTTAAACTGGGTCAGTCCAAAATAAATAATCAAGGAGAGGGAGAATCATATGGTGTACCGGAAGAACTTCCCAGGACTCAAAGAAAGCAAACAACTGATCAAACCGTACTTCTACAAAAACATTCTAATTGAAGGTGGCAAACGTGTTTCTTTATGGGCCATTATGTTTTGAAAAATCATCTACATAAACTTCGATTATCTGTTAATTCGGAATGCAGATTATGCCTCGAAGAGCAGAAGACAACTATGCATATTCAATGTCAGTGTTCAGCTTTATGACTCAGGGTGGAGATTAAAACGTATAATACCCTTTGACCTCACTAAATAATAAAACCTTTACGTAAATATTTAGGATTTAATGAACTAAAAACGCTTATTAGTCTTAAGTATATTTAACTATTATCCAACTTTAACAACACACAGAAGAAACTAGTTTCATATAGAATTTCTGTCACCAGGAGAGATTAAGCGCCCTTCTCCAGTTTTAGTTCTGGTCTTTGTTTAAAGTGCTTTATGTAGTCAATAGTGCAATTGGCCTTCTGGCCGCAGTACCGCCTGCTGGGCGATTTCACATCAATAATTTTTAATAATAATAATAAAATGGGTCACAGTGTATTATTGTACCTCCTAACATTTTAGCTTACACCGAACATTGGTTTGAACTTGATTTTTTGACTTTATTAAAATATCTAAAATCTCAGTGATTTAAAAATTCATTTTTGTACTTTAAGTCGATAAAACATTATTACTTTAATATTTGCATTAATTAATTATTAATTAAATTTTTCGCAAAAGTTTTAGAAAAAGTGTTGAAATAATTTTCTTTTTATTTTATTTAATGTATTTATTATTTATTTATAATATTTATATTCTTTTCAAAAATTAATAATATGAAATTTTTGAAATTTTGCGCCAAATGTTATATTATAAAAAAAATTATGTTTATCTGATAATAAATTAAATTTTCTCGAAATCGTTGATTCCTAAATGACGCCATTGCATTAATAACACACCCACCACATTCACCACTTATTAAAATAATATATCAAGAAAATATCTACATGTATAATTAGTCCAAATAAAAATATCTTTTTTTAAAGTTTGTGAACTAATAAAAACCTATCGATTTAACTGTGAATTTCTATGCTAAAAATATCACTCATACGCAATGACGGCCACATCAAATAAGTTTCGACTGTATATTGTCTTTTAACTGCTAAATTCAAATAAATTTTTTTTGTGCTTTTTAATTTTCTTATAATAAATATTTGTTTTATTTAAGTTCGTGTACATTTCATTTAGAAATTTCTCATAAAATCTCAATCAAAAAGTCATCAGAAATTCATTAATAAAGAATTCGAAAAAGTATAATAAACAATATTTCAATAATAAATACATTTGTAAACATTTAAAAAATCTCATTGATTTGACAATAAATTCCACTTACATTTCGTGTAAATATATACATAGATGTATGTGTATATATTATAAGTAAGTATATATTTTAACACTTAAATGTAACTAATTAGCATGTTTAAAATGCGTTAAAGTATTACTACTAATGCCATTCGAATAGAATATGAGCCACCATCAAATAGGCGGTGATAATGGTAATTTGACCCAACATCATGGGAAAAACAATTCTGAAATTAATAAAAATGGTTTGTTAACATTTAGTATAATTTATATATTTAAAATTCATACTTTAAATATCTAGTGAAGGAAATTTTGTAACCATGTTGTTCAGCTATACCGGCAGATATAACGTTCGATGATGCACCATACAGTGTGCCATTTCCTGTATAAATAAAAATAATTATTTTAGTATTGTGGAATATAAATATAAAATGATTATAGCATTAATATTATTTTTTTTAATTAAAGTCAATTGTTATCACGTACTATATAGTATACCAATACATTTTTTTTACCTTGTTTAAAACAAATCTTTTTTTTTGTGTTCTAATTTAAAAAATGCGTTAAAAGAAAACCCTTTTGTTTCATCAACTTAGAACTGACTTAAAAACTAACAAGAAAAAAAAAAAAAAATAATATATACACAATAAATAACATTTGACAAATTAATAAATAATAAAGCAAAACAAATTGTGTTAAAATTAAATTAAAAATAAAAATTTGAGGTTAAAAGTTTAGAACAGATGATTAAATATTACAAACAAACAAAGATATCAAAAAAAAAAATAATAATAATAATACAAAAAATATTTGTAATATAAATACTTTTCAAAATATATTAAAATTTTAATACAAATTAATAAGTATTCTTATTGCCATATAAAAAAAATGTAATTAAAAATAAAAATTTAGGATTAAGAATTTAGAAAGAATGATTAAATATTGCAAATAAAAAAAGATATTAAAAAAAAATATAATAAAAATAATATTTGTATCCTTATTGCCATTTAAAAAAAAAATATAATTAAAAATAAAAATATAGGATTAAGAATTTAGAAAGAATAATTAAATATTACAAATAAAAAAAATATAAAAAAAAATATAAAAACAAAATATAATAAAAATAATATTTGTATTCTTATTGCCATTTAAAAAAAAAATTAAATTAAAAATAAAAATTTTGGATAAGGATTTTAGAAAGAATAATTAAATATTGCAAATAAAAAAATATATAAAAAAGAAATATAATAAAAATAATATTTGTATCCTTACTGCCATTTAAAAAAAAAAAATTAAATTAAAAATAAAAATTTAAGATTAAGAATTTAAAAAGAATAATTAAATATTGCAAATAAAAAATGATATAAAAAAAAATATAATAAAAATAATATTTGTAATTTGTAAACAAATTAAATTAAAAATAAAAATTTATGATTAAGCATTTAGAAGGAATAATTAAATATTGCAAATAAAAAAAGATATAAAAAAAAATATAATAAAAATAATATTTGTATTATAAATATTTTTTAAAATATATTAAAATTTTAACACAAATTAATAAATATTCTTATTGCTATTTTAAACGTTAAATAACGGACCATAAGCCAAGTAGAAATACAATTTTTTATTAATATTATAAATAAATTAATGTATGCAGTAATTCACAGACAAATGTGTTTATAAATATGTCCGATATTTTGCGCAACTGTCCAAGAAATTCATTAAACCCAGAAAAATATTTTGTTTTTAAACAAATTTAAGCCACATTTAAGAGTAAAAATTGAATTCATCGGAAAACAATATCCGTGAATTACGTATACATTTAAATATTTTCTTTACCTCCTAAACACGGTCCAAAAGCCAAAGCCCAGACGAGTGGATGTAGTGGCAAACCTAATGATTCTTTGGCCACTAAAGATATAACCACTTTCACCATCATTGCTGTCACGGGTATGCTATCCAATATAGCTGATGCCAAAGCAGAAATCCACAATATTATAAATATCGCCATAGCCAAACGATGGCGCTTATCGACAATTAAAATTATATTTTCAGTCACTTCACCAATCCAAGCAAACAAACCCAAACGTTCGACACATTCCATCATAACAAACATGGCCGCAAAAAACAATAAAGTTGTCCATTCAATACGATGCATCAGATGATCCATATCATCACGATTAAGCACTATAAGTAGCGCTATGACACCTAACAGTGCTACCCAACCAAGCGGTAAAGTACGTAATTGTGGCACAGATTGTATAAAAAAACAAATTATAACAAAAACCAATGCTATTGTTGCTTGTATAAGGAGAGTTTTGTTTTTTATTGGATACTGTAATTAGAAAAATTAATATATTTCTGAAATGTGAACATCAGTTAAATTTACTTTCAACTTCAGATCCTCTAATGTGTGCACGTATTCATCCGAAGAGCCAACGCCACGTAGTTTGCGCCTCAAAGTATGTTTCAATATTTTGACTTTCTTAAACAAAGTCTCACGCACTAAATCAGCGTCTTTCGAAAAGGATGATATTGCGTTTGCCGCACGTTGCCAAACTTTGATTTCACGTCGAAGCTCCTTGATTTCCTTGGGTTCATTAAGGCGTAACGATTTGATGTCACGAAACACGAGACGCAAATACACGCAACTTTGTATGACGGTGAGTATGACGCCTGGTATGGTGTGCTCCACAAATTGCATGAATGTGACACCCTAAATTTTCATAATGAAATAAAATATGTATATATATTTGCATGCTTTCAAAAACAAAGTTATAGGAAGTTACATTTTTCGCTATGAAATGATTTGAACAGATAATAATACTAATTGGATCACCAATAGGTGTAAGGGAACCGCCAATATTAGAATGTACTATAATGCCCATCAATACAGGAACTGGATCCAATGACATAACTTCACAAAGTCTATTAAAATATATAAAATTAAAGAAAATATATATTAAAAAAAAATATGTCACTAAAACTACTGCAAACATTGAAGAACTCAATAGATTTAAATAAAATAGAAATAAATATGTATTATTATATCTGTTCCTTACCTTATAGCTACTGGTGTCATAAGTAGCACCGTAGAAATATTATCCAAAAAACTTGAAACAAAACATGTTATAAAACATAAACTGAAAATCATCCGCCACAATTTTCCACCTGACATTTCAAATGCAACCACAGCAATATAATCGAATATGCCCGTTTCAGTTAGAATTCCTACTATAATCATCATACAGAACAGTAATGTCAACATTTCCATATCCATCCACTGTATAATCTCCTCCATATTGGGACGATCATCAAAGCAGGCTAATACTGCTATAGACAATATAGAACAAATGATCGCTACAAAAGTGCGTTCAAATACCTAAAGTCGTGAAAAATATTTAACAGATTTAATAGATACTGCCAGTGTAAATCTTAACTCACTTCCCACACCAATAGGGCATAGAATATAAGTAAAATAAAAGCGGCCAACATAGCACCAGTCTTGATATCAATTATTAATGGATTATATGTCACGTGTATAGCGAAATCACGATCTGCATTTGTATAAATATTAAGACGCATTTTAATGCCAGGCTGTTCCAGTTCTTCCAGCACCTCACTATTTAAATTAAAAGTTCGATTACGTGAAACTACCGGTGCTGTATCAAAAAAACCCTCCAGTACCATAGGTATGTACCAAGGTGACAAAACATCCTAAATGTTTTAATTAAAAATTTTGATATTTAAACATAGAACATTAGTTGATCAAAAATATATATAGAATCAAATTAAAATTTCTATGCTATAAGTATACTTAATATTTTCCAGAATATATTTTAAAGACCTTAAAATCTGCCGTTGTGTTTTCCATATCATAATAGGATATTTGTGGCTGAATTGTCAAAAATACTTCAGTTTCATTTGTAAATTTCATTGTTTCATTAAAAGCGCCATCAATTTCCAATCTAAAATCACCGGTGGGCTTAACAGGTAACACAAAATCTATTGAGAAAAGTTTCTTAAATATTACACAAAATTTATTAAAGACACAACACAAAATCTTAAGACAAATTTATTGAAAGACTATTTTGTAGTGATATTATATATTGTGCGTATTATACATACAATATATAATATCACTATATCACCTTAATAGTAGTTCTTTATTTATACTCATTTATATACGATTTTTATATGAACAGTCAAACTTCCATAACTCGGACTTCTATAAATCGAATTTTCTATAACTCGAACTTTATTCTTTAATTCGAAGTCTCCACAAGTCGAACCTTTTCTCTGCAAAATCGTACTTCGAGTTATGGAAGTGAATAAAATAATTATAATTATATGCTTTAATTATAATTAAAGTAATTAACGTAAGTCATTTGCCGGATATATACGAAAAATTTTAGGATATAATATATGTGTACAATTTTTATATTAATCGAGATTCAGAATATTAAAAAAACGCATTCTAAAAAATAAAACTATTGTAAAAAAACTATCAATATCTCCAAAACAGTGTCTCTACTTTAACTATTATTATTATTATCCTCATTATTATTTCAAACCAGAAAACTTTGTGACCTAATTAGAACTATTGTATTAGCCTTAATATATATAGGCCTATATATGTAGCCTATATATATAAATTTAAGCACAGTTTGGAGTTTGCTGTTCTATCATTTATATGAAGGCCCGACAGTACCACTTAAATGAAACTTTTCTCTACCAAGAGTTGGATGTTTACAAAAAAAAGTGCACTAAGCTCTCTCACAAAAACGACAGAATTTAATGTCGAAGACCTTCCACTCATTGAAGTGATATCTCAAGTTGCATTGTCCTGTAAAGTGCCTAGATAGGGTCCTCAAATCTCACCTGCTTTGCGAGTCTCATCTGCTTACTTGATACTCTTTTGCCTGGGACTAGAAATCATTTTACTTAACGTTTGTACACACTGTTAAAGTGATCTACAAATTTCTTTTCTTTTCATTTCCTGATAACCTTAATTAAGCGATATCTTGTGAGTCCAAAGCCAACTGAGGGAATATTAGCCCCTCTCCCTTGCCTACATAATCAGCCATTTCAGTGCATTTATATCCTTAATTACATGGAACCCATTTAAAAACTGTAGTAATATCTAAAATATTAACTCTCATCTTTAGTCCATAAAATAACTACAGTTTGTTGCGGTACATGTAAAATAATATGATATATGACTGACGTTCTTTTGATGAACTAATTTAAATATATTTCAATATTTTTGGGTAAAGACTTTTATTCGTATAAACTTAGATTATCCGAATTTCCGTAAGTCTAGATTAATAATAAAAACACAACCTTAAGCAATTTCATTTGTTTATTGACAAAATATGTCAATATCTATAGGCCTTTTTATTGAGATACAATCGGTATTTAATGAGATATATAAATTATGGGTACCATTATAATTCTCAATTTACTATTATAAAAAAATCCTCTTCATCCTTCGCAAAATACTTCAACTTGTAGTATATTTATTATTACTTATATTGCATACTTATTATATTTTTTAAAATATTATAATGAAAATATAATTACCGGAGGAGGGGAAAAAATTTTTTACAAGAAATAATATAACACACATATATAATAAAAGGTGAAGATCACACTTTTTACTTACTTTTGCCCTTATATTGTGGCACTTCTAATGTCTTCTCAATCAAATGTTTCTCATCACGTATCATCAAAAGACAAGCTGCGAATATCCAGAAAACTAATAGACCCGCACGCTTCAACAATTTTATTTTATAACGTCTTTTGGCGGATTTCTGTTTTGCTTCAATTTTATCCGGAATTGCTTGGATTCTATCAATATTTTCAACATCCGAATGTGTTCCTTCACCATCAGTGCTGATTAGTTGAAGATAAGGTTTTTCAAAATGGAATGTTTAATAAGTGAATACATTTATATCTATATTATTTTTTTCTATAGTAATCATAAACCGAAATCATTATTTAAATTCATTTTTACACTTTTATACATTGTATATAGCATATACACATACATATACATTAAGACTGAAAAGTTTTCGGAAATTCTCATTTAAAATTCGCGCGCTGTATATTTTTCGATATTTTAAGTTTATGTAGTTTGGCAGCACTGTCCTTAATTACTATGCCAAAAATGAGCTCGATCTGTCAGACAGTTCGTTTACGGCAGCTGTTGAAACCAGTTCACCTCAGTAGTGCGTTGCGAAATGTCTTCGACGGTCGTACGACCGTCCTGGAAGGCTTTGTACCACTCATAAACTTGAGTTTTCGATAAAACTGATTCCCCATAAGCCTTTTGTAGCATTCGCAACGATTCTGCACACGAAATTTCGTTCGAAACACAAAATTTGATGCAAACTCTTTGTTCAATATTTTTTTCCATTGTTTTTTTCGCAACGCCCTACTGAGGTGAACTGGTTTCAACAGCTGCCGTAAACGAACTGTCTGACAGATCGCGCTCATTTTTGGCATAGTAATTAAGGACAGTGCTGCCAAACTACATAAACTTAAAATATCGGAAAATATACAGCGCGCGAATTTTAAATGAGAATTTCCGAAAGCTTTTCGGTCTTAATGTATATAGTATATAGATAAACATGGTATATAGATAAACAGACGGCTAAAATGCCATAGCTATGAGTTTTATATATATAATATAATTATTATTAATTTCTATGTAATACAATACTACTACTATAAATAAACATAAAACATAGATAAATTTAGTATATAGATAAACATAGTATATATAGATAGTAGTATAGATATAGATATAAATTATATAGATAGTATAATGTATAGGTAAGCCTCGGTGTTTGATATAATATAATGCAGTAGGCGGACACAGTACTAAAGATAGTCAGTGGTATTGTTTTCGTAATCTTTCACTATAAATTTTCACACACAAATTTGATAGTTATATTAATTTAAATGCCATATAGATAAGTTTTTTTTATATAGTAATAATCTTATAAATAACTTTAAATTAATAAAGAAACTGTTTTTTACCTTTTCTCTTCAGGATTTTCTCTCTTCTTTGGCAATTTTTTCATATTAATATATTCTGAGCCAGTACAACTACCTTCATCTTCGTGAGATGAATCAACTTCATTTGGTAAGATAGACTCATCATCGGTGGGAACAGACGAACCTGAAAAATAAATATTATTACAATATCAATATATGCAATAAAAAAAAAATATATAGATTCTAATTATTTGAATTATTTAAGTGTAAGTGTAATTGTATCTATTATATGTAGATCACCTATCATAATATCACTGAAACTGAAAATCAACCATAGAATACTTTGAAATAAGTTACATGAAGTAAATATAGTATAATTTCCATAAAATTATAAAATACATCTCAATGTTGGATACGTCATAAAGGAAATGAATGGAATGTAAGGGAAACGAATGAAAGAAATGTGATATATTCTGTTAAGTCCATATAAAATAGAAAAAAATCCTTTTTTTGAAACGCATATTTCAAATATTTAGAATATTTTTTAATCAGGTTAATAAATCAATTGTTTAATCTATACACAGACTCTTAACATATAATACACCCATCGAAGAATACCAAATACTGATTTAAAGTTTGGAACGGGTTAAAAGAAAATTACAAGCGTCATACGAATAATATCATTATTCATAATATAGCTTGAATAACTGATTTACTGTAAAGAAACTGATATAAGGAACTCATATACTCACAAATATATTATCATCTAATTGAAAACGACTACAATAGTATCTATGCATATGCGCCAACATACATTCAGGGATCCAAGGGATAATCAAATTGCAAATAACATAAGTCCCCGATAGACATTACAGCTGCTTCTCTTGTGGTTCAAAATGCTGCAATTATTGCTCTCAACTCTCTCAACGAGTTGTGTAGTCTTATCAGTGCCCAATTCTTGTGGATACCTGGACATAGAAGCATTTCGTGTAAATGTAGACAAACTTCCTAAAGCAGGCACGCTGCTCTCCGAAACTCGCTTCTCAGATATTGGCATCTTTCTTTCAATAGCTAAACTATCAATCAAATTAAAATAACTACAGTCATTAAAGAAGGCTTGAATATATGAAAATTATTGTTAGACTACAAAACTCATGTAGTCTAAACTAAACAATATTTATACCAGTCAACTCGTTCAACTAAAGCGAAACCGTGTTTGATATCGCTACTAATAGGTCACTCTACAACGGCTTGTATTGGGGTTTTGCCTCTACGAACGAGGAGGATATTACACTCGACGTCATGGATTAGCGTCTATCATTAGCTAGGATTAGATTCAAAATTTTTGGAACCGCTTCTCTAAATAAACTAACAAAACTGTTGTTCTTTAAAACTTAGCCAGACTTGTTAAGTTAGTTTCATTCTGAATAAACGAGGAAATCACGGTTATCTAGGATGCTGTTCGTGCACTATTTTAATGTTTTGAATAGTTTTCTCATTCGTGGTATCACAATAGTCTATTATTTGTGCTTAAGTGATCTGCAGTACATAAGGCTCCTACTCAACCAACATGTATGTTTTCTCTGATATGACGATCGGAATTAATGAGTCCAAAAATGTCAAGTCGAAAATAAGTATAAACAACACTTAAGCAGTAAAGATAAGCATCGGATTCTCTATCAGTGCTAAATTCTCCACAGATGGCAAAAATTTTAAAACAGTGGAATTTTTTAGGTATCTCACAAAGTGATATCTATAGAATACAAAATACAAAAAGCATTAGTAAAACAAAGATAAGTTTCGCTGAACTCCGTTTCAAGTCATATATAATTAAATCTTTAAACTTAATTGATAAAAATTTAATTTAATCTAAACATTAAATAAAAACAGCGTTTAGGAGGTATTATTTATGTAAAATAATATATACGAATGATAATACTCGTACATAAAGATCAGAAGAAAACCTGTACCTATATAATGTAAGAGAGAATATGTACCTGATTTTAATGAAGTTGGAATGTATATATATATATCACATTTAATTTTCATTCGAATTATTCTAATATAATAATCGCTATAAAATAATAATTGTATAGTATTTCAAAGATATGAAAATATATAAATCAATGTTTTTTAAATGGAAACACATGATGACTGATCTATGGCAAACATTTTAATTTGATTTTGTTTCAAAACAGCTTTTCAGAGTTAAAAAAAAAATATTTAAATATAATTTAATCAAAAAAACAACAATGACTCAAGTATCAAAGATTTGTATTGCATTGAAACACTCTAGTAGTCAAATTATTTTTACTTTTACGATAAATTATAAACAATATATTATATACTCATCTAAATATAGCACAAAATGGCTCATTTGAACTGACCAATTTCAAGCTACTATATCTTTCAAGATTGTGAGCAGACTACGTTCAAAATAATGGTTTACATGTAGCGTCTCCATTTTTTAAAATGTCTCATCCACAATTCCCCTAATAAAATTATAGCCCTAAATGTTTGCCTAAATTTACAAGTGACTATTATTAGAGCCCCGAAACAACTGAATGAGAATAAATTTTTTGTATTACAAGATTCGTATTCATGCAATAAGTGGCTTCTTCGTTAATCAATTAAGAGACGAGCTCATCCTATACACGACCATATATTGCCTAAAGTTTACTTTTTTGATCTGCATTGGATACATTTTCAATATAAAATTCATTTAAATACTAACACCTTTATTATAGATCACTCCTAAACTATATTCTAAATTGCTAAGCTCCGATTGCCGACGTCATCATATTTATATATCTCGACAACGATCGTTTTTTAAGCCAACTTTTTTAAAGTAAAATTGAAAACAATATACTTTCTTCTAGTTTACTATATGGTTTTTCAAAACTATTTTGTAAACTTTTATTCTTATTCTTATTCTTATTCCCTTCTTAAGACATAACTAAACCAGCGAAACCCCTGGATGTTAATTCGCTAAATTATATCAATGTTGTGAGAAAGCTCGTACAGCTTATGGTTCTGTCGGATGCGGTAGTCGTCGCCAACTTGTAGAGGACCAAATATGTTACTAAAAACTTATCTCTCAAAACATCCACTACTGTTTTATAATTCTCTGATAACATCCATGCCATACAGGGCTACAGTGAGGATGCGTGACCTGTAGAACGTAAGTTTTGTCCTATGTTTTGAATATTGCAAAACCATTTTCAACACAACTGCAACCTGTACACTAATTACATTGTCAAAATTGTTGGCATATATATTTAAGTCCAAAAATTTATGGACTGATGTTATAAATAATAATACTTTTATTAGCAACAAAAATTTAATCTTTCTTATTATAATAATAATCTAAAATCGAATAACTTTTGATTAAAAAATCAAATCAAAAAACATTTAGAAAATATCCTGATATTCTCATTACTAAAAGAACTTACTTTGATTGTTGGTATATTCTTATTATTAATATTATATTAATTATATTAATATTATGTATGTTGCCATTCAATGAGCTTAACTAACAATATTTTTTATATAAATTTTAATTTTATGTTCAAACAAGATGAAATAACTATTATCATAATAAAAAATTTTTTTTAATAGTAAGCTTTTTGAACTGTTGTAAATTACAGCAACAAAATCAGAAATCCTATTTCATCTTATATCAAAACGAAATCAGAAACCAGCTGTAAAATATTGAGTACTTTTTTTTCCAATTATTAAGTTTTTATAGTTCACTTGTTAAGTATTACTTACTTTTTTGCTCTACCCATTTAAATTTATTTCGTACATTTAAGTAAACTCTTACGTTGTACAAGACAACATCGTTGTTATTGAAAATTCATATTTTATTATGTACATTATTTTTCATTATTTCATTGTTTTCCTTTGTACTCTTATTCTTCACAATTTAGTTCAATATTACTAAATAATAATTGTGGGTTTATAACAAGAAAGCAACAACAATTTTTTAGTAATAATTTACAGTTATGCTTAGAAATTTCTATAGAAAACCTCTCTAGACAAAAAAAAAATAAAATTGTTGTTATTGTAGTTCAATACTTTTCGAAACCTCTCTAGAAAACCTCTACATTTTTTTATTATTAAAATTAATAATAATTAAAAAAAATTAACAAAAAACGAATTTATTACTAAAACTTTTCATATTAAAAACCAATCAATTATGAATCAATAAAAAACATAAATTAATTGTTTATAAATAAGCAATTAATATCTTATAAATGAATCGAATTGCTAGGAAAATTTGAAAAAAATACTGTTTACATTATTTAGACATTTTTAGGAGCTAATATATATAGTCTTTTCATTAATCATTGTCCACAATGAAATTACTCAGCAATTTTCGATTAATAAATAATTTTCATTAGTGAAAATATCTATTGACACTGCTGCCCTTAAAATAATTTTATTATAAATATTTGAAAAAAAAAATTGAGAAAAAAATTGGCAATACATCCGAATGAGCTTTGTTTAAAAATAGATATCACAATTAAAATTTAAAAACAAATTAAAGTGAAAATATATTTTGAAAAATATAAATTACAAATAAACTTTTCATTTCGGAAAAAGCAAAAAAAAAAAATATAAACAAAAATAAATGAATATGTAAAAGGATGGAAAAAAACATGTGGAACTTACCGTGTAAACGTTCATTCTCCATTTGGAATGACGCCATGCTGGGATCGTGCCGTATTTGAGCTGGCAGAGCGCGCCATACCTGTAAGGATTGCTCTGTCACTTGTCCTGGTGTGACCAGATTCTGACTTGAATGGCGCTTTTTCAATTCGATGCCACGACTCGGGCTATTGCCCTTCAATTGTCGAAATTTTTCACTTAAACCCATTTTAAGTTAACAAAAAATTTTTCGAACATTGACGTTTTAATTAAATATTTTTGTACATTAATGTTTTAATTAAAAATTGTCTAATTTTTTCTTTTTTTTTTTTGGCTTTTGTCACTAACAATTAATTACTTTTTTGTATAAACGGCGACGTTGAAAGAGTTTTCTTATATATTCTTATATATATTGATATAACAATAATAAAATTAAGCTCATAAAACGCGCATAAATAATGCAATACAAATAAACATTTTCTTTTTTCGGCGCGCAGATACTTTTTTTTGATTAGCAGATACTTCTTTCACTTAATTATCAGAAATTAAACTGATATCATACGTACATGGATAAAAGTACAATCACGCGAAGCCTTCCTTGATTGCAAAAAAAAAAATTGTTTTTTTTGTTTTTATTTTTATTTAATTTTTGCTTAGCTACCCTTTTGACTCACTTTTATGCTCATTTTCGCATACAAAATATGCTTTTATTTCTATATTTTTTTCTATATTTTATTATTTAGTTATATTTTTTTTTTTTGCGTTTTTATTTTTATTTATTTTTGTTTGTTAACGTAAAGAAAAGCGCTGTTCGTACGACGTCACAACAGCGGCAGTTCGCTTGTTTCTATCATCTTCATTGGCAAATGCTTTCTGCGCGACTAATTCGTATGCCGCCTTCACATTTTCTTTCGAGCAGCGTTGTACGGATTCTGTGTGCGATTTCCAGTGATGTGCACAACTTTGGAAAGCTTTGTAGTCGATTTGCTTTTCTTTGTTCTTCACTTCGCTTTCAGTTTTCTTTCAACTTTTCCACCCACACAAACAAACACACGGACACACATTCTGCGCACACAAAAATCCTACCAGCATACACTAATTTGTATGTGTGGTGTGTATGGTGCGTGTGGTGTATGGTATGTGTGTGGTGTGTGTGTGGTGTGTTTGGTGTGTGTGGTGTTCTAGGAAAGACATTCAATATTGTATTGGAAATCTGTTCAGCATATGTTTTGTACGTTATCATACTCGTACCACACGACTCGTACCAAAGACCACAAAACACAACACACAACACATTTCCATATGACTCAAACCACCTGATGGACTTTTGTGCTCTCTCCACCGTGCGCTCCACCACTACTGGAATGCAAAATTATATTCATTGGCATTCGTTGACAATCGGCAGCGTTCGTTGATATTTGTTTACATCACAGCGTAAAGCTTTGCTTTCACGCACACTTGGCATGTTAAACATTATTTTAACCCAATTGCTTATTACTGTTCTCCCGCGACTGTTCTCCACCTACGCTAGCAACCGTTTCGATTCACCCTTAACCGTGGCAGTGAAATTGTGCAATTTGTGCCCTTGTGCCCTTGTGTCCTTGTGCCTTATGCCTTGTCGTCTCTTACAACATTTTTAAAGGGATTAATCTATTTCCATTGGTTGTTGTTGCTGTTTTGTTGAATTCTTTATTCAAAACATTTTATGACACCAAAAAAAAATAACAACAATTGTCCATTTGGCTTGTCAAATAGAATTGTTGTTGTTGGCAATGTATTCCATTGCATATTGAAAGCTTTAAAAACAAAAAAAAAGCTTTTCCTAACCTAACCTAGACTGACACTTGTTGCAATTTGTGTTCAGCCACTTGGGCCACTTTGGGTGGCAACGAAGATTGAAGCTTCAACAAGTGTTCGGCATTATGACAGCAAGAGGTAGGAAACGTAAAGCTTCCCACTTTAAAAGGTCTTTTAAGGAATTATTTACATTAAGGGTATGTAGTAGAGCTTAGACTAATCCATTCACAAATTTTCCTAATAATATTTGTCGTTATTCGAAATTGAATTTGGTATTGTGTTTATTTAATTTCGATAAAGAAAAACATTTTAAAATAATACTAAATCTTAAAAGGATTTTAATTTAATTTAAATTTTGATTTTAATTAAAATGATTTTAATTTTTAATTTAAAAATGTATTAATAAAAAAAAATGTATTTATTATTTACGAATAATTAAGATACAAAAATTATTTCCAAGACCATTGATGATAGGTATTTGGCAATACTCGAAACAACTGTATGATCAGCCATAAATTCAATTAATTAAATAAAAATAAAATAAATTTTTGTTGTTGTAGTTCACTACTGTTTACAAAATAAAAAGAAATACAGTAAAACGCAACTACAGATTATATATTAAATTAGAATAGATTTAAAAACGGGTTGGAAACAACTTGACACCCCGTCACTGCATCCTTTAAAGACAGTTGTGATAAATCCACTTTAATTCCATACACGAGTAGCAGATGAAAACTCTATTATGTCCTTTGTAGAGATGTTGCCTAATTTCGTTATAAGTGGATAGACAGTTGATAAGTATCGAAGTCTGAGTCTGGCCAGACTATCACTGTGACACAGAATGTGTTCTGCTGTTTCCTCTTCTTAACAAAGTCGGCAGCTTTCTAATATCTTGCAATACCTAGACTCGATAGATGTTTTTTGACTCCGCAATGTTTAGTGAGAAACCCTGTGACAAGTCCGATGTGTTTTCTCTTAAGCATTAGAAACTCCCTAGTATTGCCTTTTGAACGATTTGGTATGAACTCTTTGCTTGTCTGCAGGTAGTTACATTATCTCAATCAATCTGAGCTGCTGTTTTCAGCCATTCATTAATTTAAAAATTTGAAAAAGCTGTATGAAGGACCACAGAATGGTCTTGGCCGAATATAATATGAAGACGCCGCTTTTTTGGCTAGTTCATCGGCTTTCTCGTTTCCCTCAAATCCGCTATGTGCTTGGATCCATATTAAGTAAGCCCTGTTCCTTTTAGCAAGGTCTTTTAGAAGTTGAAGGTATTTCCACAAACACTTTATATTCCCTAGTATTCCATAGTTCAATTGAGTGTACTTCGGCCTTTCTTGACTCATACTTGCAAATATTTTATCATTTGGTTTAAACCCATGGCCGCTGCTCCCACTCTTTCCGGCGTTTTGGAGCCATTCGTGTACCACAAATAGTAGTCTACAACGAATGGAGATTAAATATACTCTTACACAGTCTGTCTTAGAACGGATACGACTAGTCTCAAAAATTACACAAAATTTAATATTTTTCATATACTTACATTTTAATTATATATATATAGATATATATTTTAAAAATATATATAATGATCACTTTTTTCCATTTCAACATTTTTTTTTTTTATGTGTTGAGGAAGTGGACTTCTTTATGCACCGTCAAACCGACCACCGTTCGAATGTTGAGCCCGACTTCTTAACATATACTCTCTCACTGAAACTGCTTTCACAGTCCTTCAGGGTCTCTTTTACTTTAGTATTTTTATAGGTACATGTTCTCTTAATTTACGAACTGCGTTCATACCTCCACTTTTTAGTTCATTCTTCTACTCTTGTAACAGTTACAGTTTATTTACTAATTCAATTTAATTTATTAATTGGTAACAGAATTTTAAGACAGCGTTTACTATTAATTTCGGTGTTAACAATATTTATTTCTGGATCAGGAGCACATTGAATTTGATTTAAAAAACATTATTGCATTATCAACATTAACTCAATTAGAATTAATAATAAAAATTTTACCAAAAGTATTTCATGAATAACAATTTTTTACTTATTTACCGTATTTTTCCGTGTCTGCCCTATATATTTATATAAATATACATATAAATAATTAGTAGATCATGCAATTTATCATTATGATAAACAGAATAACCGCGCAAATAATGCGATTTCATGCCATAGAATTTTTTTCGTGGAGGCTTAAGTCACAGTCCCACCACCAACCACACCAACAATGCAGTTGTCTGAGATGTTCCTGTGTCTAGGTACCAGAGAACTGCAATGAGTACTTCACACTCGAATGATTGACTGTGTTTCATTTATATGTATCCTGATTCGCTAATTTTTCGTATATTCGACACCATCTGATTAATATATACAGCTGACAGCACTTATAACTTTTCTCATATAATACTCATAAACATCGACATTCGAGACAAAAATGATGTAAATGATTTATGAATTATTCATGAGTATTACGTCACAATCGGCAAAAATTTTGCTAGTTTTTGTATACTATACATATAATTTCCTACTAAAATAAACCCTTATTTAATCCACATATAATTTTTAAGAGCACAAACAAAAGATATGCATAAACAATGCTAACAACAATAACACACACCAAAAGCATAAAATCGAGTCACTCATTTTCGATGAGTATATTCATACTCATCATACTCATCTGAGTATATTCATACTCATCATACTCATCGGATTATATTCATACTCACCTGAGTATATTCATACTCATCTGAGTATATTCATACTCATCTGAGTATATTCATACTCATCTGAGTATATTCATACTCATCTGAGTATATTCATACTCATCTGAGTATATTCATACTCATCTGAGTATATTCATACTCATCTGAGTATATTCATACTCATCTGAGTATATTCATACTCTTCTGAGTATATTCATACTCATCTGAGTATATTCATACTCATCTGAGTATACTCATACTCACCTGAGTATATTCATACTCATCTGAGTGTATTCATACTCTTCTGAGTATATTCATACTCATCTGAGTATATGCTATGTTTCATGAATCATTTTCCATTTATGCTCATCTGCTTGGAAATGTGTACGTATTCTTGTAAAACTGATTCATTCGCACCCACATTTATTAATGAATGCGAATACATACATACTTATGAATCATTTCTGTAGCGAATGCGAATGCATATAAGTAGAATATGAAAAAAAAATTTATGTGAATTTATATTTAGTTTTGTATGAGTATACTCTGAGTATTTAAATAATGACTCGTTGCAGTTCTCTGCTAGGTATGCATGTAACCTGAACACTGACACATCTATGTAGTGATGTAGCACCAAAACTTGAGATGTAATAATTGACAGTAACTTAAGCTACATACCTTTCAAAAAATATTTCCAAATAAATACGCCTAAACCTTTTCACCAAAACTTATGAGTAAAAAATTTGGAATAATAGCAAATAGCATAGAAACCCCATAAAAGTATTTGAAAATTCTGAACCATTTTATTTGTCTTTTCAATATAACAAGAACCTTATACTCACCTATATTTGAATAATCAATTAAAATGAATACGAGTATTTGTTTTATATTGTATCGTTCACATAACACGTGTAGCTCATAATCCACATTAGTAATTAAATATTTCATGACAATGCGAAATAAAAACACATTCAATAAAAAAGACAATAATATTTTTACTGTTAATTAATTTTTTTTTATGAATCGCCTTTTGCCGGAAAATAATCAATATTCCCATAGACTCTTTAGATAACATAACACATTTATGCCAACCTCACAATACATCCATTTGAAGTGCTAATATTGTCCTGCACAATAGAGTCACATAGTTGGAGACTAGATTTGGTTTTGGCGCCCAAACCTAGGCAATTATTGAGTTTTACTTTTTATTTGATTCGGGAAGTATCAACAAAATTACATGCAAAGTGTGTAAATAAACACTTATGTAATGATAATAAGCTGTTTGAAGTTCACATATATAACTCTGTAAATACCTGCATATGTATAAACATATATATATCTCTGTATAGATGTACATATTTGTTTGATTGTGGAAAAATTTTCTGATCATTAACAAGCCAAGCATGACAAATTGTCGTAGGCACGCACATTAGCTGACACTTAGAATAGAACTGAATTATACAAAGGATAAACAACAACAATAAATATTACTAATATCACATATACGAATATATGTACATATATTCGTAGTATTTATATATACATATGCATACACTGAAATATTAAACAAATAAAGGTTTTTTAATGCTCCAACAACAATCACTTTACAAGTTATATAATATATTTATTTATCATAATATTTGAATCAAATTACAGGCCTGCAAGCAGTTCCACTAATTTTTTAGGGTTTCATAACTATATGACAATATCCCTTAGCATTAAGGCTCTGGATGAAGTTTAAGTTCGACTAATAGATGCTTCCATGATTATATGCAACTATTACCCACAATAAACCTTAAATTCACATTAACAAAGTCAGTCTGTAGTATTAGAGGGTCTGTCCGAAGAGATAGATTGTCAACTCTGCCTAGAAGCTAACTGCCTAGAAGTAGACAAGTCATGTTCTTTGTAACTGCTTAGCCTTCAACTGGGCCTGAAGGAAGACACTAAGTCAAAAACTACTCTCCCCTTCTGACATTTAGAGGTCTTAAACGGCTGGCATTCTGGCTTTCATTCGAAAGGTGGAATGCCTTCTGTTTGGTTTGGGTATGTTGCGACACAAAAGATCAACTATAGCCGCGATACTCAGTTCCGTTGAGAACTAGCACCTTGTTGATTTTTATTCTATATTAATAAATAATATTTATTGTCATTCATACGTGACAGATTGTTTTTTATTACAATAGATTAAAAAAATCCATCGCACACCGATAACTTTACGGAGTTTTTACAAATACACACAAGTAGATATACTCTAAGATAAGATACGCGCAGTACAACTCCTTCAGCCTTAGAATGGAACTTGACTAAATCAAGAAGAAGATTACGCCTAAAGACAACATGGAGCTGAACAGTATTCACCAACATACAAATCCTTTAACGACCTAAGATATATAGCTCAGAAAAGATAGAACTGGTAACGTTTTGTAGAAAGACTAAGTTTTTAGATAAACAATCAATTTTTAATTGTATGTACTTTTGAAAAATGTAACAAAAATAATAATAATAATAAAATACACTCAAGCAGATAACCGAGGTTTCATTGGTATGTAAACAGACTTTTGTACAGAATAGTACTGTTACATTATGTACCAAGGACCTAACGTCGTACTTTACATCTATAAATTACTAACGCGACTCTATATCAACCTACTGATCCTACAAAACTTTGGGAGTTGTAAAATTACTACACTGTATATAGTATAGTAATATAGTATTGTAAGTACTTTTAGAGTTTCTAAGTCGGATTATTCCAATAAAGTACACCTTACAGATGGTAGTGAATTCACTGAGTACATCATTAATTAGCAATCCAACAGCGATAATCTCCTGACAGTCAAATTATGAAGTACCTTATGTTACTGTACAACAATATATAGACGAAGTCTCCATTAGACTTAGTAAATTGGGGTATTAAGCCCCAATCCTGAAATAAATAAAAACATATTCAGGGTTCTACTGTGTGCTACGAACTATAGGTAGTGTATTTTGTTGAAGTTACAAGAAAATTTTTAACAGATGTACAAAACTACAACGCATATTTAGTTCAGTACATTAAAGAGTTCAATGTCACGATTTAAATAATAGAAAAGCCTTTGGGAGACACTTTGACCTTAGTTAAGAATTACAAATTGCAAACATTTTTCTGACAGATTATGCAATATATTAACTTGGTATTCTATAGAATTTTAGATTTCTATTTTTGCCAGTAAATACGATTTTAGTTTGATTATACATTAAAAAGGTTATATTCACTAATATATCTAAACATTATAATTGTCAAAGAAATGTTTGCAAATTTTTTCTTTTCGAAATATTAGTATTAAAACTTCATATATTATGATTAATATATTATAAAAAATTTGTTTTGGGAATTTTTTAATAATACACACGTCACAGTCATTGCTATTGGACATAGTACACACGTATCATATCAAACCCAATATTTAATTATTGTTATATAGATCTAAATATTGAATGAACTGAACCATTCTTATGCAGTAAGAAACTTTTATTAAACTTCATTTAACTTTTATAATAAAACCCTATTTTTAAAAAAAATAAAAATCTGATCCCTCATGCTAAACCATTAATAATCTATACTACTTGTTTAATAAAAGCCAGTAGATCTCTTGTCAAGACATAGTCGTATCTCCTCTTATACAATAGTACAAACAATGAATTTAACAAAATGTTACTAAACATTTCATCCTTTTCCAGAAAAAACAGTCTTCTCCCACTTTACGCAATCGATTCTTGTTCAATTGATAATGCATCTTAAAATTCATATTAGATAACCCGTCAGTTATTGTAGCTTTGTCATACTAAAGCAAGATGTTTCTTTATGAGCAATTGAACGATTTACTACCTTACCTTAACGATAACTTATTACTTATAGTATAGTACTTAATAGATATTTTTTTATAATATTTTTATATTATAGAGGGGTTTCGAATAACAAAGAAAGAAATAAAGTCTCTTTGTCCCTATACAAAGTAAGTCTAGCTTAACAGCAATACTAATACTATATTTTTATATTATATTATTATTATCATTATACTATATCATAACTTGTATATTCAAGTTAGTCTATTTTTTCTGGCCATGAATCTCATAGAGGATAACTTATAATACAAAGTGCTTTCATATAAATGAGGTCATTATAAATAAATCAATTGATTTAAGACGATAAATGTCCAATGCAACTCTTAAAAATAAATTTTCCATAAGGGATATTATTCAAAATATTATATTTTCCATATGTTTTATATTACCATAAAATCTTAACAAACAAGCTATCTCACATGCATAAATCAGTTTATGCCAATGGAAACAACCAAATCTTAATTTTATTAACGTAAGTAGTTTTAGGTGTAGTAGAAATATGATATTAAATTGAATTATTAAACATTGTAAACTTAAGTTTACTAAAACAAAAAATATGAAAATATAAACAGTTCTTTGTGATTTTTCTTCTTTACTCATTCATATATATGTATTTAAGTTCCGTATTCTCTGCCACCAGTAACCTTGTTTTATAAGCGTTAAATACGATACGTTAGTAAAATTTTTTACATAGTACCTTTAGTAGTATATGTTTTATAGATCATTAAAAAATCATATAAATTGAACTGTAAACTGAAATAACCTATTACTTATCCTAGTACTTGCAATAGCTGTCAAAAAGGTATCCTGTTTTTTTTTAATAAAACTTCTAAAAACTAATTAAGATTATCAATTACGTTTAAGAGTAATTCAACAGTTAATAGTGTACAATCAAACTTCCATAATTCGAATTACCATTTTGCAAAGCAATGGTTCGACTTATGGAGACTTCGAGTTAAAGAATTTTTTTGTTATTGTATGTAATTTACTCTCTAAACCCACTTGCACTCTATTTAGTTCGAGTTGCAGAAGTTCGAGTTATGGAAGTTTGACCATATATCACACAAACATTATTTTCAATTACACAGAAAATTCTTTCTAAAATTTCTTCATTTATTCGCAAATAATTATCGCTTTCTTCCGGTCACCTTAGACCAAGGTACGAGTAATTTTCCTTGTGCTCTGATGACCTCAAAACCTAAAATACTTTCTAATTTGATGAAGCGGCAAAACAAATGTGGAGCCACTGCATAAGTAAACAAAACAATAATTTTTGTGTTGTGGTCAATTGAACCATTTCCTGTCTGTATATTCCGGAAAAAAGTAGGAGTGTGACCAAGGATAATGATTAATTTCGCGGCGGTGACATGCAAAATAAATGAACATACGCGATGGAGCAACAAAATACGAAATGAAAATGAAAACAAATTCATTCATAAATCGAACGGCAAAAGTTAAACAACAAAGAATTTCTATAATCCTATAAAGAATATCTATAATTTTTAGGTAAAATAAAAGTAATAAATAAAACCTTCACAAAATAAAATAATTTCAAAGGATATGTGTGATAAAAGTATATGCATGCCAATGTTTTATGGAAATGATGGGCTGTAGTTCATCAATGGATACAAGCAACATAACTGAGGAACCTGTTAATGGATTAGCGCGTTGGCAACAAATGGTTAATTAATTATTTGGATAATTTAGTTGTATTTCTCTTTACGAAAAGTATATTTTTCTTCAGTCTGCAGATCCTGTGAGTATCGTTAAAGAATATGTGAGACTAGATGAAAAAATCAGTAAGCTAGAATCTACTTGCCCTGGTCCACGTATGGCTACAGCCGAAGCCTGGGTTGAACATTTACAAACCAAACGTAATAGTTTACTTGGTATGGATGGCATGGAAGTTGTGCCAAAAGTGCAACAGCCAAAGGACGAACTTAGTCCATTAGCCGCACAACGTAATTCGAATGAGGACATTTTAGTTGTGGATGCATACGATACACCAACAACAGCTCTCCACGTAGCAGCGAATCCCACACCATTTGCTACGAAACAACAAAACGGCGTTGTACCAATCGGTAATGGTGTAGGCGTAGTGGCACGCCATGGAAATGACATTGTAACTAACACACCCACACAGGACTTAGCTAACGTAAGTATTCACTTATTTACTTTCTATTTCCCTGTATGCACATGTGTGTATGTGATTTCGCTTATTAAAAACAGCTCAAAACAATTGCCGTTTATCTAATATCAAGAAAAATTTATTGCATTTAACACTTTTTAATTAAGAACACGTAGTAAATATTTATTGTATGAGCACAGGTCTTGACCTAAGTCATTAAAATATCCGCACACAATTGAAGGTAACCAATTTGTATTTCAAAACATTAGAAATTCCACAATCTGAAGAACTGATACCGAAACGTAATTGTGTTAGTATCTAAGCTATGTATTGGTCATATTTTATTTATAATCTTTTGATATAAATAGATTATAATAAGCAGATTTTATAACATTAGCTTAAAGAGAACGAACATTCTCTATTAAGCCCGCTAACTACATTTTTACATCTATTGAGTACTATTTATGATAATTTTTTTACTCACAATGTAAGATCTAAGATGTATAATCTTTTCAGTCCTCTAACCTTCTCAGTAAAAGAGCCACTGCATATGGATTAATTTGGTTACTTAATCTTTCTAGATATTTAATTAGAACTATATTTAGAATTACTTCTTCTAAATAAGACACATCTTGATCTTTATGGATTAGTAAAAAACCGAAGAAGCTGGTTCAATCTTCCGAAATATTTAAAACTATATTTGAGAACCACTTCTATTATATAAGAAACATCTTGATCGTCATGAATATATTTATTAGTAAAAAACTAGAGAAGCTGGTTTAATCTTGCGACATACTTAAAACTATTTTTTAGAACCACCTATTTTATATAAGATACAACTAGATCTTTATTGATTCATTTATTAGTAAAAAACCATGGAGGCGGGTTAAATCTTCCAATATGTTTAAAACTATATTTGAGAACACTTCTTTTATATAAAATACATCTAGATCTTTATAGACGCATTTATTAGTATAAAACCAGAAAAGCTGGTTTTATATAAGATACATCTAGATCTTTATGGATGCATTTATTAGTAAAAAAAGCAGAGGAGTTGGTTCAATCTTTCAATATATTTAAAACTATATTTGAGAACCATTTTTATTATATAAGAAATATCTAGGTCTTTATGAATACATTTATAAGTAATAATCAGAGAAGCTGAATTAATTTAAACATTTTGGATTCACAATCTATGCAATATTTCTACTATATTGAAGTTACTACCAGTAATCTAAAACTATATTTCTTATCATAAATAGCTTTGTTATAATAGCTTTGTAAAAAAGAATTTTATTGAGAAGATTTGGTTCAATTCTTGGATCCAACAATTAGTATATTTTTTTTCTTGTTGAATTGAGTTATTTTTATTTTGGTTATATAAATCCACTCCGCTATACGCTTTTATCTAAAGATATGTTAAGATACTTAACAGTAGTACTCAATTGAATGGAATTTCCGGTAAGACTCACTAAAGGACAATTCTCTTGCTCTATAGTAAATTTAATATGAGTGGACTTTTCGTAAACTAAAACTTAATATGATAAAACACTCCTACTAATTACAATTATTAAAAGATATAAATAGATATATATATATATATATACAGGATAAGAGATACATCCTATTTAATAAAAAAAATGTTATAAAATAATCTAAGTTTTTAAATTTGATTGTTCAGCTCTAATACTATTTTATTTTTAATTAATATTGACACTACTCAAGACTTATTCCCCTTAAATAAATAGTCTATTTAAAAACACCCTATAAAAAATATAAGCTCTCGTTTTTATTTATTTTGCGTTTTTTCTGATACTAAAGTTCCTTTTTCAAGACAATGTTTTCCTTATCATGTCCATAATATCATGTTTCCCATTTAGTTAAAACTACTTACGTTAATAAATTTCAGATTTGGTTGTTTCCATTGGCATTGACTGATTTATGCATGTAAGATAGCTTGTTCGTTAAAATTTTAATAAAAAACATATGAAAAATATTTTGAATTTAAGTAATATCCCTTATGGAAAATTTATTTTTAAGAGTTGCATTGGACATTTATCGTTTTAAATCAATTGATTTATTTATAATGACCTCATTTATATGAAAGCACTTTGTATTATAAGTTATCCGCATTAGCGGCCTTAATGAACAAAACTTGATAAATAACATAAGTGGAAATATTGTATAACTTATTAAATATTTTTAAATTGACATATATTATATACGCAGTTATTTTTAATAAATGTGCCTACAAAACCCGCCATCTGAAGAAAATTAATTTCTTAACAGTTTTAATGGCCCATTGATATTTAAGCCTTTTCAAATTCATTTCAAAAAGTTTTAATCATAATATACTAATTTCTATAACGTATAACGAGTTTTTCAAGTAATAACAAAAGTTTAAATCAAAAAAATCTTAACTCTATCCAACTCTATATGGATTATGAAGTACCAATCAAGGCCTTATCTACCGAAAATTTTCTTCGAAACTCTATCATATCATGTGTTATGTTATATTTCTTATCAATTAAAAATCAAATGGTTATTTGTTAAGAACCTAAACAAGCTAGAATTGTTGGTAACTTAACTAAGAACAAAGTCGTAAAGATCAGTGTATAACGGTAATACAATTTTGGGAAACCTAGCCCTTCTGTGAAATCAGTTGCGCCAAAAACAGAACTCTTATTGAATTCGACTTGAAGAATGTCGCTGTCGAATTGATTATTTAGATCATTAGATCCTCATACGATTTAGATTACGGTTTAATAAGCTTATTGATTTATTGTAAAGAAAAACCTTTTCTTAGCATCACATTGATAAGATTGCTAGATTTTATATCTTTCCAATAATATAATTTTTAATCATCGTAGTCTTCTACACGTTTGGCAACAAATTAAATTATCTCTATTAGCCTGGAACTGATTAAACCATCTTACAACTTAAAGTATTTAGATGGACCGCTCTTAAATATAAGGGGTATTTTAACTGAAGACTTTTTTCGGGTAAACGACTCTTTAATACTTTGTATCTTATTAAGTATTGAAAATGGAGCAACACTTCCATACTTCCAATTTTTGATCAGTGCATAATTTAGTTAAAACACTGCAAAACAGTGGTTCCCGACAGGTGGTCCGCGGATGGTTAAAAATGATCCGTGAATCATATTTAACAGGTATCGATACATAGCTTGTAGTTTGTCTTTTGAGAACATAAAAATGTCATAGTGGTTCTTGCACAAAAATATATTAGGAACCACTGCTTTAAAGCAAACAAACTATTATACATATAAATAACGTTCTATAAAAGAGAAACGATTTCAGTATTGTAATGATGTAAGTTCAAAGAGGGATGGACAGACGGTTTTGGTACTCACCAAACATAAATTTGAGCATGTCATGATTAAAATATTATGGTTATGTATTTTTATTAACACTTTTCAAATATGAATTGTTTTTACAATTATTATATTATCCATTATGTTTTCTTGACATACCAATCAGAAGAAAAAGATTGATAGTAACAAATTGACTACTGAGCTCACGTGCTTCAAAAATGTGAAACTGAAGTAGTGTGCAATCGTATAACAGGCTTAACCAGCTTGCATATATCACCCTCATATGGGTTTGTGGACATATAAACAAGGTCGCCCCATTTCATGCTTCTATGGTCCCCTGAAAATCTTTACACAAACCAATTTTATAATATGTTAATTTAACCTACAATTCCTTTTCAGAGTTTCAAATATAATTCTTCAATTGATTTTGGTTGGTTGCCTACAATTCTTAAATCGTGTTAGATTTAAAGTTCCTAAAAGCGATTTCAATTATGATTGCAGAGGTTATAGTAGATTACACCAGTATAGCTTTCTTTGCCTCTCCTCTTCTTTGAAAAAGATGAAAAGATACGAGTATTAGGAGGTAATACAAAATGGTCCCAGAACTATAAATAATATATAGTTAATAATAATATCGTTTGCTGGAAATATGATCCTTATCTGACTGTTTCGACAATAGAAGTTCACCTTTTCAAAATAATTCATCACTAGTCTTCAAGTCACCTGATGAGAATTGAGAGCCTTTATTTTTGACGGCCTGTCAGTTAGGATGAGTATTCTACGGTTCTGATATTTACGTTGAAGATTAAAAGATGAACACCTGTCTATCGTTTGAATTTCTGTTTGAATGATAGTTGTGTTTTCATCTATAAGTCTTTCAAATATTTCAACCCCATTTCATGAACTCCTGCTCTGGCTTCCTCTTAAGTGAGAAAACCGTCCATAAATATTAAAAATATTAATATTAAATAATTGAATTGAATTGAAACTATACACATAAGTACATATGTAATTGTAAATATAAATATACTTATATCCATATAATCCTATGTACCTATAAGCATCTAGTGTCTAGTGAAAATTTTTGTAAAGCATGCAAGCCTTTTGTTTACTTAATTTAACAATCAGCAATTAAAGAGAAACTAGCTTTGTTGCACGGATAATTAAATGACACGAAAGTATACCCTTGCACATCAACCTTCAATGAAAGATTATTAATTATTCTTTAAATTAAAATAAAAATAAAATTTAATCGAATTTTATAAATTAAAATATTAACTAATTTTAGTTAGCCCTGAATCTGGGCGTGGTTGGTGATGTAAATAAGGCTTCCACGCATGAAGATTTCTTTGCAAATCTTAGCGAATCAGCATTGCATCTTATATCTCTCAGATACTTTACGGAGATTTTAGATCATACGAAAGTACGACTGAAAGCACACATGGAAAGTTATGCTGCTCTGAATGAATTATACGTAAATCAGGACGGTATTATCGGTAAGTAAATATTAACTGTATTATAAAATAACTGTATTATGAAACATAATAATGTTTAAATAATAACACTTAATTATATAAATACTAATGAATGATAAATTAATAATAAAAAATATTAATTATTTAAAAATTATTTAAAAATAAAATATTAGAAATAAACAATATTAAATGAATGATAATAAATATATAATAAAAATAATTAAATGATATAGATAAATATATAACAACAAAAAATATTTAATTATAAAAAAAAAATAAAAATAATAACCAAATAATTAAAATGAAATTTCAGTGAATAAATATTATTTAAAAATAAAATATTATACATAAATTATAACTAATAAACAATAACAATAATTTAATGATAGCAAAAATGATAAATAATTAAGAAACATAATAATAATAAAAACATAAAAAATTGATAATATATATTAAATAAATATTATACTGAAAAATAATAATAAATAAATAATATTATTAATTTAAAAAATTGAAATAAACATGCAAATTAATAATAAAATCTTATATATAAATAAATAATATTAATTGAATAGTAGTAGAAATGGAAATTAACTAATATATAATAAATGTATAACAGATAAATACTACAAATTTAATAATAATAAGAAATAAATAATTATAAAAAAAATAATTATAATAAAAAAATAATGATAAAAAAACAATAATAATAATTTTATTAATAAATAAAAATAAAACTTAAGTAAATAAATAAATCAATAAGTAAAATCATAATAAAGTGATAGTAAAAATAAAAAATAATTAATGTTTTTTAAATAAAAATAATTAATTAACAACAATAATCAAAAATTAATTTATTGAGTATATAACATATAATATATATTGTATAATAAATTTAAATTTCTAAACAAATAATAATGATGAATGAAGAGTGATAAATAACAATAATAATAATTAAATAACAATATGATTAAAAAAAATGTAAGTGAATAATTGATAAATTTTAAATAAATATAAATAAATAAAGAACAATAACTGAATGATAGTAAAAATAAAAAATAATTAATATTCGATGAATAAATTATAAATTATATAAAATATGAGTAAATTCTTCTTAATAATTAATAATGATAAATAAATGATGTTCAATGAATTACAATAATATTTAAAAAAAACAATAAAATTTTAATAAATATTTATATAAATAAACAAAATATAAAGATAATTATTAATACTTAAAATATATATATAATTAATACTTAATAAATACATAAATAATAAAAAAATATATATAATAAATAAATAATAGAGAGGCTTCGAAATCTAAATACATAATACTAAATAAATAATGATAATAAATAAATCAAGACACATAATAACAGTTAAGTAACAATAAAATTTAAAACATTAGTAAGTAGTATATAATTAAATATTCATAATGATAATTAAAAATAATTAAAATAAACACGCAATTATTATAATAAAAAATATGTAATAGTAAATAAATAATAATAAAGAAAAAAAATTATAAAAAAAGTAATAAAAAAGAAAAATAATAATAAATTAATAAAATTATAATAATTATAATAAATAATAATTAATACTTTATTTTAAATAATAAATGATAAAATGAAATAATATAAAAAATAAAAAATTCAATTAATTACAACAATATAAAAATAATTTTTGTTATTATAATTGTATACTTTTCGAAATCTCTCTACTAAATTATGAAATTGTGTAAATAAATATTATATAAATAGGTAAATATAAAATAAATAAATAAAAAATTATAAATAATTAATACCAAATAAATAATGCTAATAATTAAATGATAGAAACATTTAAAATAATTAAAAAATATTAATTTTTAGTTTTAATATTATAAAAATAATAACAAATAATAAATAATGATAATTAGGTATTAGTAAAAATAAATAATTTATAAATAAATAAATTCTTAATAATAAGTGAAACATAATAACGTGCTAACATCAACATAATGCAATAATAATAGTAAATAATTATATAAATAGAAAATAAGCTATAATAATAAATGTATAATATTAAGTAGGAATTATGAGTAAATAAGAATAATAATAATTAAATGGTAATAATTAATTAACAATAATATAATAATATAGTATTCATAAAAAAGTCATTTTAAGCAGTCATTCAAACTGTTTCACAAATTTAGACAAAATACACACATACTTGATAACTCCGGTTTGGGTTCCCGACCATACGTATATGGCGACGCTTCTTTGAGAGTTCACCCCTAATACTTCTTTTCTTGATACCCGTACTCTATAAACAGACAGGATTTATGGTCGTTTATTGCAACAGGAATTGTTTAATTTTACTACAGTAGTCAGCTCATTAGCGACATTATCTCGACTCAGAAACTTGAATCAATTTATCTTAACACTTAGCAACAAAAGGAATATGTTTAAATATGCTTTTATGTTTTTATGAGACACGGTACTGTGAGATTACATGCAGCAGAATTGTGCCTGACTTATCGATTAATGTAGGTCGGGTAAGCTGGTACCCGAGAAGAACACAACGAATTTATTATTATTAATATAATAATAAATTATTTTTAAAAAATTATCGTGATAAACATTATAATAATTAAGAAAAACTAATAAAATAACAATTAAGAAACTAATAATTTAATACCAGAAAATTCCGGTACCTACATATATGCACATATTATCAAATGATCACTTAAAATATTCATACGTTTATTATAATAAATTATATATATTATTATGCTATATATTTATTCACACTACATAGTATAATATATTCTATATGCTATAATACACTCGTAGTATATAAAAATATTGCATATATATATTATATAGAGATGACAAGCTTTATTCTCTTATAGCTTTTATTAGCGGTGGTACATATATGAGTCGATTGGAAGAAAGTCTCGATAGTCAATTAGAAACTGCACGAGATGTACGTGATAAATTGGGAAGTGCCCTGGAACAGTGGCACATATGCGGTACACTCCTGCGTGCATGTGCTAACTCAGCTACTCAATGTCTACACCAATGGCGCAAAGTGGCAAAAATTGTGTAAATATGAACTGATCTATATTTTTTGTAATATATAATATATATATTTTTTTAAATATAACCGCTATCTTAATTATAGTAATCCAAAAGACAAGATACAGGCTGCCTTAGAATGCAGAAATACATTACAAGCTTCCTTGATATCACTTGAGTGTGCACAGCTATCGTTGCCACATGTCGAAATAAAATACGTCAGCAACCGTCAAATATTAGCCGTAAAGCATTGCAATGTTTATATTATAACCGATATTGCAAATCTTGCAAGGTAAATATTCATTATATAAGCAAAATCGAAAACCTAAAAACTAGACTATGTAAAAAAGAGAAATAAATACTTAATTAGTTTAAATTTGCAATCCATATCCTTAAGATATGGATCTGAATCAGTGTTCACAGCCTTTTTCCGTTGCTCTTTTAACTGTTTTTTATAAGGCTAATGATATCTCAGTAAATATTTCTGGAAATGAAAGCCAGAAATATTTTACCTATGGTGGCGGCATTGGTAGAATTATAAATTTGGCAAACGTGATGTACTCGTATTATTAGAAGCGACAATACTATACCGGAAGCTTTAACCTAAAATACAGTATAAACACATATATGCAAATCTCACTACATTATATAAATATAACCTTACAATTTAATTCTGTTCCAGGAGTATTCATTCAGTTGCTTAATAATATTTATTTATTTCAATTAAATTCCGGAAAGACATAAGATTAAATTCCGGAAAGACATTATCTATTATCACTACATTATATAAATATAACCTTACAATTAAAATTCTGTCCCAGGAGTATTCATTCAGTTGCTTAATAATATTTATTTATTTCAATTAAATTCCGGAGAGACATAAGATTAAATTCCGGAAAGACATTACCTATAAATTTCATGTACATTCTGTTATAACAGCAAGTCACTTGGTTTTTTGAAAAGCTACAAACTCATGCATTGTGCATATGATTAAATAGTATGATATTATTTGTTATCTAGAGAAGAATTCAGTTCTATCCCAAATAGAATCCTTTTCCATTTTTACATTTCAGCTGTTTCTACTACTCCTTATGACGTTCAACAAATGTAATAAGCGGACTTTTGTATGTTTCTCATGACAGCTACTCATGACAGGCAAAAGGTTTATAATAAGCTTTCACTTCATCTTAAGTTTCTCACTGCATACCACAGTACATGAAATATATGTATAACAGATACATTGTACAATAGATTATATCGCTATACTTATAGATACATTGCTTTAATTATTTACAGTTTATAATATCATCTTCTATTATTCTATTAATATCGGCAACTATGAAAATAAACATGATTTGTGTTTAGATTTGATTTAAAGTGATATTAGCACAAAGAGTTCATGGAACATGGGGTTATATCTCCCTTAACCTCCCGTCTAAATATGTTACTGATTTGTACAAATACCGAGTTAAGGAGTTCGTTATGAATACTACTTTGAATACAGTTAAATTAAAAAACTAAATCTAAAATTAAAAATTAATTCCTATTAATTGACTACGTTAATTTTCCACATTTTAGATATGAGCACACTTCCAAAGTACTTGCGGCCTATGAAAGCAACATGTCAAAAGGCTCAACGTGGTTGTATGAAACATTCAATAAAACTTTACGTAAGGATTTCGATAAAGCTGAAGAAACTGTACGTAACTTGTCGAAAACATTGAGAGAACATAGAGAGGAAATGTTTACGGCTGCACGCAGTTAGTAAATAAGTCTCTGTACTTCTAAAAATATATTTTTAAATTAAGATCATTAAAAGTGTTTATTATAGTTAACAGTTTTTACATAATAAATTTATATTTAAATTACACAAACTATTTATTGCATTCAACAAAACGTTTAATATGCATTTGTACGAGTTTAATACCAGTAACTCTTGTGTGCTTCACGATCTTCTTTGATGCCCATTTCTTCCATTATATCCATTTCGAAGGTACACAATTTTGGTGTGAATGTGATTTCTCCAACAGTGGCGGCTATAAAAAAAATATAAGTAATACACTTCATTATATACATTATTAAATTATTTTATCCATGACAATAATCTAATCCTTAAAAGCTATATTTATAAATATGAAATAGATATAAACAGAATACTGAAAGCCAATGAAAAGAATAGAAATAAACAGAGTACAAGCTCCCAACTGAACGACACATTATGACTATTACAAATCTTTTGTGCTTTAAACCGATCTTGTTTCGAAAACATTTATAGGAGCAATAAATGTTTTCAGAACAAGAAAACCATAATAGCACCCGTTGAAGATTTTCTACTAACAGACGGTGATATAAGACCAAACCTAACAATCTCTTTCTAGACCAGATCAAAGCCGACCAGTCACAAAAACTGTGACAAGAATTTAAATCTGCATTCCAGCAGAACTAAAATTCTGTTTAAATATACAGATTTATTTGTCAAGATTCGTCAAGAATTTATTTTATAAAAAACAAGTCATAGACAAAAATGTAGATAAAACAATTTTAACCATTATTTATGGGTTTACAATTTTTTCTAAGTTTAAAGGGTTGAGATATGGTCGAAGACAATTGTAATTATTCGAAATTCCCATTCCATAATTCACTTACTGCTTTTTTATTAAAAAATTTAGAAAATTTTATTGTTATAACAATAAACGGGACTTAAAATGTAGAAAGCAACCAAAAATGACAGCTTTACTATTAGTTCTGTAATTATTTTAAGGAAAGACATCATATAGGTAATCTCATATAAGTACTATAGTTATAATATTGTATATAATATTATATATTATAAAATATCTTATATAATATATATATATATATATAAAACATAATATAATAATACATAATAATATAAAACAAAAAAGCAAACATACCTTTGGTATCTTTATCACGTTCAACATAAGCTGCGGGCGATTTATAATCATGAGTCTGATTATTCATTTCTGGTATTGGTATCAAACGGCCTGTACGCTTAGAGACACGTACCTGCTCACCTTCCTCTGTGAAACGCCATTCAAACTCACAACCTTGCAAGTCAGAAGGATCTACTAGTCTTATACCAGTCACAACCTACAGAGAATACCATAAAGAACAGTAAAGGATTTAATCAGTTTTCTTAAACTGAAATAAAAACACAAATTCTTACATCTAATGGAGCCTCCGATTTCACAATGATGCCGGGAAAGTCTTCATCCTTACCAACTTGACGGTAATGCCAATTTAGACCTTCGACAATCACCCAATTACGTTCAGGAATAACTTGTGTCACAATGCCTTGCTTGCCTTTATCTTTACCAACAAGTACTTCTACACGATCCCCACGAAAATAGCTCCACTCCTCTAGAAACATTAAAAGCATCGTAATACACAATTACTTGTTAAATATCACATTTTATGTATATTTTATATGCGATATAATGAAAATAATTTTCTCTATTTACCGATGGGCTGCATGAACACTTTCTTGCGGATTGTGTTAGGCAAATTTTGTTGCCTGAATTGACCTGTCCATGATCGATTTGTCGTGTAGCGGAACTTCTTACGTTCAATTGTGCGAGGCAAATAATTGACAGCTTTTGGTGTTTCCCAATAAACCTTTTAAATCCAGTAAAGTAAAATTTATATAATTTACTCCAAAAACATTTTTGATGTATAGAAACACTATTGATATTTCACGTATGCTTACTTGTCTTTTGCTTCTTTCAATATATTCCTTTGGCAGATTTGAAAAATCCTTTAACTTACTACGTAAAATCTGTGTTATACGCATTGTTTTAATTAATTTTTATAAAGTCTTTAGAAAACAAAAATTTACGGCAAACGTGTTTAGTTTCTTTTTTGCCGTGCAGCAAAAGCAGCTGCTGCATAACAAAAGCGAAGTAGCAAAAGCGAAAATTCACCACAGTTTCGGCTTTTACACGAAACATTAAAGTTGGTTGATATATTCTATTAATAAGTAATACTAAATTACTTTATTATTATGATATAATGACTTATCTATTTTGAGCAACTTTTTGCGCTACGCCATGTGGCGTTTTAGTATATTATTCGGGATATTCAGATTTATATATTTTAAATTGATCACACTTACAAAAACCTAATATCAACTAACACTAACTAGTATAAACAATTTCAACATTTATTTCAAATCAATTTTAAACCTAAAAATTGTATATATCAAAGACCAAGCTATATTGAAGTATATAACATAATATAAAAAGTTGCATAAAGAGGTGTCTTCATTAATATAACAAATGGAATAAAAACATCATACCATAGTATTGAATGCAATACTATATTACCATCAATTTATATAATATTACTACTAATGACTCATGCCACACTACAATATAATTGGAGACAGTTTTTAAAAAACACAATTTTTGTAACAGTTTTCGCACAGTTTACTGCATTTTACTGCACCCAAAAGATTTTCTTGGTTTAAAATTTTCTATTAAACATTTGCTGTTTGTTATTATTAACAACATTTGCTTAAATATGAAATATTTTGTATTGCTACAAATATTTTATATTGAAAAGAGCACGTAATACTTAACTTATATAGTTAATTGTGAAAATGCATTAATTGAAAATTCTCCTTGCAAAGAAAAGAAGTTAGTGCAAGTGAACAATATTATATAGTACTGCACAAGACTAAAACAAACATGTCAAGAAAAAATCAAATAAAATTATAAAACAGCTGATCGATGCTAATAATATGAAAGTAACAGCTCAATTATTTTGTACATCATGGCGCTAAACTTATATTCTCAAATAATTTTCAATATCAGTAAATTAAGGTAAAAACATTTGATTTGCTTTTTTTATAACTAGTACTAATCCCACCCCAGTGAAACTTCATCGGTTACGATATCGCTAAACTTTTATAACTAGTACTAATCCCACCCCAGTGAAACTTCATCGGTTACGATATCAATTAGTTTTCAATATCAATCAGTTAATATAAAAACATTCGATTTATTTTTTCTTTACCTATTTTTTTCTTGTTTCCTTACTTTGTGTGTAAATTGCTTTTCTTACAAAGAAAATATTATATTAATTTTATTTGTAACTTGACAAATTTTTACCTGTACAATATAAGAACTGATCTATTATGCCCTATGAATTTTCTAATTTCATAATTATTAATTCTTAAACCATTCAGTTAAAAAGTATATACCATTCGTTTTTAAAAAGGAATATTCCATATTAACAAAGCAATAGTAAACGTATTAAAAAATGACCTAAGAGGGTATTTTTATTGCTTCTTTTATTATTGTTATGAGCTTTATTTAATGCCGTACATATGTAGTGGATAATTCTATGTTTTTATATCAAATTTGTTATGTATTATATGTTTCATATTAATATTATGATTAATAAATAAAATTTAATTGTTTTGCCTCTCATGCACTTTATATATGCACGAACGAGTTTTCATCAACATATGCTTAACATTTTTCGTATGTACTGTACACGCTGGCTACAATAATTTGCCACCACACCAAAAACAAAAAATATCAAATACACCACGACAGCTGGTATTAATCATTCCGCTGCAGTTTACCTTACTGTACGTAAATACATATTAAGATTTTGCTAATAGTTATTTTGTTTTGTTAAAATATACATAAAATTGATAAACAATTGTTACAGAATCCACACACACACCAAAATGAATCAGAGTCAATTGAGTTAAGAGCACAGGCCAAAATTTTAGTTAATTAGAATTTGCCGATAAGTGAGGGTGTTGTACGATTTTAATAAAATTTAAAGTACGGAATAGTCGTATCTTTTATACAACGGTTAGTCATAGGGGACAACGCACATTGGTATTTGTTTCTTTTTTTAAATATATTTTTAATAACGCTTTTATGAAATATGTCTCACAACACATTAAACATTGAAGAACGTAAAGAGCCAGTTTTATTTACCAAACATGCTAAGTATTTTATACGTTTTCTTAACGTCTTACCAGCTCGATTGGCATCACACGATTGTACCAGGTAGGACACTCTTATAAATAATGACTTATTATTAATTAAATAAAATTGTTAACAATCAATTTTTAGACCAACAATAGCATTTTATTCTGTATGCGGCTTGGATGTACTTAACTCTTTACACCTACTGACACCGCAGATGCGAAAGGATATAATCGAATGGATTTATACTGGTTTAGTAGAACCATACGAAAATGAACCATGCAGGGGTGGTTTTCAGGTATAACCATTAGCAAATATTTACAGTGCGCTCTTATGTTTTTACTACTTGTTTTTTTTTTTACCATGACTAGTTTTTGTATTTATGACATGTCATAAATATCTGCGTTGAGCAGTTAACTGTTGAGTTAGTATGTAGATTTAGCTTATCAGTACGTGTTTCATCTATGGTCCATGTTGTTTGAGATTAATACGATTTATTTATTAATTCACTGCGGTAATTGTCTGTTGATGTTTAAACCTGAATTTGTTATCATTTTTGCTATTATAGTTGACAAATTTTACATTTCTGATTGTCTGATGCGTTAAGCATAAAATTTTGTTCTATTTTTTGGCCAAACTTGTTTAAAATAACTGAATTAATTTATTAGTATTATTTAATACTTATAGTAACAAAACAATGTGTTTTGTAGTTGTATTAAATTAGCCTAAACCTTTAAACGGAAATAAGGTTTGAAGTTTTTTCTACATAAATGCGTACTTATAAATGAATATCCGGCCGAAGGACCTAGAAGTTCAGTCTTTTATTCTTAGTTAGGTTAGGTTATACCGGCAATCCCTAGAGGACTCACTTAGGCCTATTGGCCCATTGTGTTGGCGTATATAAAAAAAAACTCAGGGTTTAAAACCACCTTTGGCGAAGCCTAAAATGCTATTTAGTGTCAGGTTCTGTAATTGATCAAGATCTTCAAGAAAGGGCGCTCTTAGAACTGTCGGGTCTACGTCCCGGAGCCACTCGTCGCCAGCGATGACCAAGTGCCGTTCGACAGCTACCAAAAGGACTTCACAAGCAGGTCTCAGCGGTTCACAGCAACAACAACAGGATCAAGATGAAAAATATAATCTGTTGATTGTTCTCTCATAAGAACTTCATTGAAAACAATTCATTTTTGCTTATATCTATATATTTTATATTTAAAATGTGCTTTTTTAACTTTTGAGTTTTGAGTATATATCTGCTTCGTTAGTCAAGCTGAAAAAGGAATTTAAGCTCCCTTAGTTATTGCAGCTTACTTACTTACTTACTTACTGCAGTCCTTCTTTCCTAAGTGGAGCATAAGGTCTCAAGTGGACATAGTTATTGCAGCTAATACGTGTTATCTAAAATTTTAAATTTTAATAAAAAAATATAATTTCAAATTGTTTCATGATCTGAAATGATATGTTCCGAGATTAAAATGAAGAGTCTTTGTTAAGTGCCTTTCGGAATCCAAGTTTTATACCAATTAAGTTACGAAAATACTTTGTCTATTCTTTAAAATAAATACAAATTAATACATGTTAAGTTCTTTTTGTACAATATATAAGTTTAATAATAAACTACACAAGTGTCACCACCATCTTCCACCAGTCTCTCAACACACTCCTAGTTTGCATATCATACATTTTTATCTTCTGTGCGTGAACATTTGTTGAACTTATCTTTAGACTTGCTATTACTCAACACAATTGGTTTACTTAAAATAATGAAATATCAGATAATTTCTGATGTTTTTTTTTCAACTATTTTATATTTTCTTTGTTGATCTAAGTTTTTTCTTATTTATTGCTTTTAATATGTTTTACAGGGGTCTCGTGTAAAGATAAATAGTGATGACAAACAATTACTTGACAGTATAAGATGTTATCAATGGGGTCACTTAGCGATGACATACACTAGCATCTGTGTGCTTATAACACTTGGTGATGACTTGAGTCGTTTGAATCGGCAGAGTATTGTAGATGGTAAATATACAATTTTCATACTTATACACTGAGATTACACCTTTACATTCCATTCCATTCACCTCAGGTGTTGCTACCAACCAACGATCCGATGGTAGTTTTAGCGCATGCATAAATGGATGTGAAAGTGATATGCGCTTTGTTTATTGCGCTGCAGCTATTTGTCATTTGCTAGACTATTGGGGCAATGTTGATAAAGATAAAATGTATAGTTTTATTAAAGACAGTATTGTAAGTATAATATATTTATTATTAGGTAGAGTATATTATAAATAGACGTTAGTTTTAGTTTGAAATAATTAATCATTTTATTAGAATTGTGCTTATGGAAAATAAATTTAAATTTCCTCTTCCCATATTTACTTTAGTTCATATAACCATTTATCACATTGCCCCATATTCATTTTACATAATTCCGATTCCCGTCCAACATTCTTTACACTTTCGCCCTTTCATTTATATTATTATTTTATTCCTTATTTCCTTCTAACTTAGTAGACTTTCCAAAGCCTTATATTATATATATATAAGAATTTGAGTAAAAATGAATGGTTTTTCTCAGGGTTCAGAAAAACACTGTGCTGTGCACAAAAATGCAAAACACCACGCACAAATGTTGTGCGATTCTAAAATTTCACACTACAAATGTGGTGTGCGAAAATTTTTGTGCACATCTTAAGTGCACATCTTGTGTGCACAAACGAAACGCACATTTCACACGAGTGTGGTGGAGTGAAATAAAACTCGCACACGCATTCGGTGTTTGTGCCGAAGTTATTTCGCACAGCACATTGTGTGTGCGGCAGCCAACTTGCCCTCGCACACAACGTGTGCAGAAAAGAATACGAGAAGCACATTTTGTGTGCAGGCTCGAAAATAAAAATGCACCCAAATGTGCGGAGACGAAATGTCTACTGCACGTTTGTGTAAAATTATGATTTAAAAGCGCACAATATTATGACAAATATCGCAGCAAAATAGTACGGAAAACTGATTTGTATTAATTTTGGTCTTAATGCGAAATATTTTATTGAAGAAATAATTTTGTATTTATATTTTAATTTTGAATTTATTATTAGATTTACATTTATTGCTTATATTACTTATTTTTTTAAGGTTTATTAATTTAAAATATGGGAATAAAGTTAATTTCACAATGTACTTGAAAACTTTGTTATATTAAATAGGTACATGAATTTAATAGAGAAAGAGTATTTGTTTCGAAATGTTATAAGTAAAGAGGATCGGTTCTACGGATCGTACTTTGAAAAAATTAAATATATCAATTTTGGACTACTTCATAAAATTTTATTTAATAGTAAGTTGTACACTAAGATTCGTTAGTAAGGTTATAAAAAGCAAATTAAATATTTTTTACAACAACATGAATTAATTTTTTTATTAGATTTCAATTAATTTTTTATCTTTAATTACAGCTTAAATTTAACAAAGTTATTGAAATAATTTTATAATTTAATATCTTAATTTCTTATTATAAAATATATAATTTTTATTACATATTTTTTGAAATAAATTTTCATTTAATCTTATTAATAACATTGCTGAAATATTTTTTTCACTTAAATTATATCTCTGCTTACTTATCACAGTAGAAAGGGCGCTAAAATCCTGCTACCTGTTCAAGAAAATATTTTCTTAATCTTTCGCGTTTTTTAATGAATGTTAGATACTCTACCTATGTGAATACATATTTCTGGAGAAGAAAAATATATATTTGTGGCCCTCCCGTATTATCTTTTTTAAACTGTTGCAAAATTTATTAAACAAATACACCAATACCAATACCTGCTACCTGTTCAAAAAAAATATTTTCCTAATCTTTCATATTTTTTGGGCATAAAAAAATCTTCCTAAAATATGTTTTTATTTTTTTTAAACTGGTGCAAAACTTTCCAAACAAATACTTTAAGTTCACTTACTATATTTGCATTTAAAAATGCACAAAGTAATATACAAAAAACTAATATTTTAAGTTAAAATACAAATAAGGTTAAGACAGTTATAATTTTTAGTTAACATTAATTAACAAAAATAATTATTTTAAATATTTGTTAATTTATGCAATTTTTAACATAAGTTACGATCCCAACGAACGCAATTATAAATTTTTTCAAAATTTGCAAAAAAATAATATTTTCTATTTCAAACAAAATTGTGAAGTTCCTGTAATTTTTTTCCACCCTTGGGTGCAAGCGCAAAATCGTACATTTGTGCACGTTTGTGCACAAGCACATTTGTGCACATTTGTGCACGTTTGTGAAATCGCACATTTGTGCACATTTGTGCAAACGTAATATGAGCAGCACACTCGTGTGCAAAGAGAATTTTTTGTCGCACAGTGCGGTGCGAGCATAAAATTTTCTCGCACATCTGATTGTGCACATTTTTAAAAATCAGTCACACAGCACAAATGTGTGTGCACGAATCTGTGTGCACAATCATCGCTTTGTGCGATGTGAAATTTAAAATCGCACAACAAATTTGAGTGCGTGCATTTTTTTTCTTAACACCACAAATGTGCGTGTGCATATTTTAAAAATAATTTCCACTCGCACAGTGCAGTGTGCGATTTTGTGCACCACATTCCGAACTCTGGTTTTTCTAAACATTCAAAAAAGAAATTACAAAAATCTTGAAATTTGCACAACAAAAGTTCGTGCAGTTAAAACACTCAAAGTCATTGTTTTTAATTTAGCAGGTTTAAAGTTCTTAACATTATACTTGTAGTCAAACACACTACAATTAAACGGACTTACAAAAAAAAACGAATATTTCAAAGGTTCTAGCATGTTGTTGTCTTAACCCGCTGGAACCTGCTTGTGAAGTCCTTTTGAGAGGTGTCGAACGGCATTTGGTCGTCGTTAGCAACGAGTGGTTCCGGAATGTAGACCCGGCCATACTTAAAACTATTGTATGGTCAACCATAAATTCAAAGGTTCTAGAATCAGTTCATTTCATTCCATTTCAACATCGATCCATAAATAAAACTTTAAAAAATATGGAAATGAGTTAAAATGTCGCGACTGCTTAAAAGTACATAATTGGAACGTTATCCATAATTTTATACTGTTATTATTCTTATTAAAACTTATATGAGGCCTATACGAGGCCAAATTTGTTTCAATAACGGCTAGGTCTATATGCGGCAGCAACTCGTCAACCACGAGGACCAAGTGCCTTTCACCACGCTCCAAAGGAATTTTACAACAAACGAACAACACCAACTCTATACAAGTACGTACCTGCATTTTCAGTGCCTTTTGGGGGTAAGCTTTATTTGCTCATCTGTTTTTATATCTGGATTCGAAGATGTGAATCTTCTAAAATTGCTTCTACATTCCTACATGACTTTTTCTTTGATGAGCAGATCACTACGAGTATCTGTTTCTTTTACTAGCGTCCTGGAGTCACTTATCAATCCAGACAACCAACTGCCACGCGCCCCAGAAACTTAAAAGTTTTTTCGGATTACGACAGTAGCATTTTTTTTATCCAAACTTTTTAAACGAATGTACATATACTAGCAATTTATTGCAAATAGGAAAACAATATTTTTTCCCTAGCCCAATATTTTCTAATCATAGTTGATTATTTATTACAAATATAAATCAAATACTCAAACTACGTATTAATTCTTAACTTAACAAAACTCCAGAAAAAATGTGCGAACATAAAAGTCAAGTACGGCTTTGGGTCAGTTGTATAATGAGCGCTGACTCTGAGCTTCAAATTTGGCAGGGCACTAGTTTAATCCCTGGTACTTGCAGCCTCACAAAAGAAATTGTTTACGAATAACTGCGAATTACGTATAATTAAATACAAGAAATATTTCCAAGACCACTGATGATAGGTATTTGGCAATAGTCAAAACAGCTCAATTCATTAAAATAATATAAAAATAATTTTTGTTGTTGTAACTCACTACTGTTCGAAACTTCTCTATTAATTCTTAACTATAAAATTATATTAAACTTTTTCTTATTACTCTTTATTTGTAGCGTTATGATTATGGTGTGAGCCAAAGCGGTGAAGGTGAGTCCCATGGGGGCACAACATTTTGTGCTATTGCTGCTTTACATTTAAGCGGTCAACTAGGTCGTCTCGATGAGAAAACATTGGAAGGTATTAAACGTTGGTGTTTGTTTAGGCAGGTAAATGTGTACACTTTTATATTAAAAACTTAAACCATTTTAACTACATTACCTATTAACTACATTATCTATTTAGATTGATGGTTTCCAAGGGCGTCCCAACAAACCAGTTGATACCTGTTATTCATTTTGGATTGGAGCTACTTTACGTATACTTAATGCCTTCACATTGACTGATTATATTGAGAATCGAAAATATATATTGGAAACACAGGATACCATTGTCGGTGGCTTTTCCAAATGGGCACAATCATCAACTGATCCATTCCATACTTATTTTGGCATTTGTGGTTTATCATTTTTAGAAGAACCCGGCTTAGCTACAGTTATGCCAAGTCTAAATATAGCAATGCCAGCATATAAGCGTTTACAGCAATTGCACGCCCAATGGCGCACAAATTCCACAGATGATAAATATTTCAATTCAACTAAAGAGCATGAAAGTGATACAGATACGATTACCTCGCCACTAATTAAAGCGTAAAATGATATTCACAACTTTCACAGCTTACACAGCTCAGTTCAAGTTCAGGGTTAATAGTATGTGTGTCTGAATCAAGTACAATAAATACGCTGACAAAGTACGCTACTATTTTATTGACTATAAATTTTTTATGCTATTTTTTTAAATAAAATTAATAAAATTTTGATCATTTGATTTAATTATTGTATATATAATTTTTCAACAATTACTATCAAATTACAACTAGGCAACTCCTATGCATGAAGTAGAGTTTAAATTTTAAGATGTAATAGAAGTTGAACCCTTATGTTATTGTTGTTGTAGCCCGCCGCGATCTGAAAAGCAGATAACATGTAAGGATTACAAGACACATACAGGGATAGCTATCTCAAGGGGATGAGTCCATAGGTCGATTGGACTAAGATTAGTGTGTGCAGAGGGACAAGACAGCAGATGGGCGTCGTTAGAGGGGGTAGGGGGTTTGACTGCAGTTTGGGCACACATTACGGAATTCCATTGTAGAATAACACCCTTCGATTCATATACTTTTTTGCTTCTCGAAATGTGAAGTTAATGCCATAGTCTAGTTGTCACAACAATGTATTTATAAAAATATAAAACTATTTTTATTGTTCTCTTAAGGAAAAAGAGAACATTTCCAGGAAAGTTTAAATGGTGATTTGAATCTATTTATATAGTCGGAAGTAAAAATAAATTGGGATCGCACACTTTACACAAAGTAGTCTTCAATGTTGCTTGACAAGCAACCTATTAAGAAGAGGCTAGTCAATAATATCATGGAGATCATCCTTTAACATTTATGTTACCACATCGAATAAACAAATTGGTTAATTGGTTAAAGTGGCGCATCAGCAGTTATCTTGCCGCTGACCATAATTACCGATTATTCGCCGTTTCACTAACACATATCTAGCAATAAACCTTAAGATATAAAAATAAGATAAAAACTAAATCCATCCTGTTGAGCTTAGGCAATTCAACATATCTTTTGTCCTAACGGATGAGTACTTCTCTAAAAAGTAGAATAGAGAACTGACAGCAATATCAGGATGACTAGTTTTATGATGACATTACTTATCACAAATCCTTATGTTTACAAGAACGGCCGGGTCTACGTCCCGAATCCTCTCGTCGCCAGCAACGACCAAATACTGTTCGACACCTCCCAAAAGAACTTCATAAGCAGATCCTAGGGGGTTACAAAAACAACAGAGAGTCTTATTGGTAATGATTTATACAAGCTAAGACACTTGAGGTGTTGCAATAGTTAATAAAACATTTCTTTTTTTTTGTTTTTAATACTATTTATTGATTTATAGTAAATCTCTTTGGTTAATTCATTTAAAAAAACACCAATGTACAATATTTATGAGTTAATAAAAAAATTCAAAAATACATTTAGATGACATTTTTTACAATTTATAAACTTGAAATTTCTTTTTGTTTTTTTTTGCTTTAATACTATTTATTACTGCCAACTTATTTCTCTATTAATGGCATAATTATAAATTTGAAATTGCTAAAAATCTTTTATATGTAATATTAAGTAATATTATATAAATGGCCTCAAATGACAATACCAACAATTTTCGTATACATAATTACTTAGAATAAAATGTATATTTAGTTTACAATCAAATATTTATGACCCTTTCTTCTTCTTATCTTTAAATGTGTAGATATTTAAAAGGGTTAATAAATATCATATATAAATATGAGGATTATTTATCATAAACAATATAATTTAGAATGACTAATTTGTAAATATGTATGTATAAAAATATATAACCGATTAAAACTAATTATGCAGAGATTCAACTTTGCAAAAGAATGTATAATGTATAAATATTCTTAAGAATTAAATCACAATTTTAATTGGAACTACAAAATCAATTAAGAATTAAAAACAATTAACCATATAATTAAAAAACAACAACAAAAAATCTTAATAAAATAATTGAAGAACATAAATAAAATATCTCTATAGTTAGTAAATAAGAAAGTCACTAAGGTAAGCAGGATAGCGCGGAAATGCCGAATGCACTGGTCTATCTATGAACATACGCTTGCGCAGAGGTGCTAGTGCGCGCTCGGTAACGTGAGGGCAACGACGAATGAACAACGACTGCAGACGTGTGCAATGAGTAGAGATTGCTCTGAAAGTAAAAAACATGAAATTAAAAAAAAATTAAAATAATTTACATTAATTTACAAAAAGAAAAAACTCCAATAAATTAAGTGAATATAATGAAACTGTAATAAAAATCAGGATATAAACAATTACTTGTCACGGATAAATACGTCAGTTTTATGTATGACAGCAGTTCTTGAGTTTAAAGGTAGTTTTGGATGGTTCATCATGGAAGGTAGTACTGCAGTTTTGCAGTTTTCATGATATCGTTAATCTGTTCCCCTGCCCCAACGCACACACAAACAGTCCAATTGATTTCCAATCGAATCGTTTATTTCTCATATTTGTACTTTTCTAAACGTCGGGCCCTATTTTAATGGTAAAATGATTTAACAGTTGATAGTTTTATAGAAATAGATATAACACTTATTTACGCAGTATATGGATTAGATACAATATCATAGTTCAGTGATGTAGTCAAGATCTGGATCAAGAACGAGTTATAGTAGATCATATTTGGTTTTGTTTTGTAGTTATTTATCTGTAGATAATATGCTCACGAGATAATTGGTCTAATAATGAATTTGTATATTTGTGCTTCCGAACATTCAGTTATCTACTAACTGAAGCTTTGTCACCGTCTTAGTCTATAACCATTTTCATGGTTAAAAACCCATGGCCCTAGTGTATTGCCAAGTACGAATAGTGTACCTAGTGTACCTTATAGTGTACCTAGTGTACCTTAGTATTTTAGTATCTTAGTACATATGCCAATACCCGGACACAGTAAAGGCTAGTCACTTGAAATTTTTGGTTTCGACACGAAAATAAACTAATCATATAACAATTAAGTATTTAATACGTAATGAATAATTGTTAATATATGAATGAATAATAATGAATGAATGAATAATAATGAATAAATAAACAATAATGAATGAATGAATAATAGTAAATGAATAATAATGAATTATTTGAATTGTGGTTCAACATATAATATATATATATAATATATACAATATATAGATATTGTATATATATAATAAACTAATAAAAGAAGGATTTAAAAAAAATTGTTAGCAAATTTAATTGAATAATACTTACAGTATACCATAGTCACTTATTGCTGTACAACCAACCAAATTGATATGCATCAATGAACGGCAATAATTTGCAATTTGAATAAGTACTTGATCAGTAACACTGGGAGTGTTGGCCAGTGAAAGCACAGTGAGTTTGTTCAGCTTTCTGAAGAATATAATTAAGCAACGTTCTCCAATGGTTTGGCAATGCGAAATATCAAATTCTTCCAAGTTATTTTGATGCAAAGTTAACGCATCAACTGCACCAGTTGTAAGCCATTGACAACGTGACAGCTTCAAAACACGCAAATCCTTACATTCAATTATAATAGGTTGCAAAGCCAATGGAGTAATATTGACGCATTCATTTAGATTAACCACACGCAAACGAGTATTCTTAGCAAGTATTGGTAACATGAGTTCATCTTTTAACCAAAAACATCTTGCTAGCTGAATAGTTTCCAAACGTCTACAGCATTTGGCTATAACACCAAAAGCACGCTCAATATTGTTGCTGTTATTACCCGCTAGGTCTACTTCTTTGCGCATCTCCAGGGCTGCCTCTGCAAAACGTTTTGCCTCATGTGAACAGCAACGTAAATTGAATAAATCCTTCAAGGATAAACATTCAGCCACATTGGGTATGAGAACATCAGACCAACTAATATCGAAAAGGTTTAGCTCAGTATCAGTGTATGGAACGTCTTCAGCATCTTGCGTTTTGTCAATATTTGACTCTGTCACAATTAATTTATGCACATTTGAGATATCCATAATATTAATTATATGCTGTGAAAAAAAAATTTTAGAATAAACTTTGTAAACACAACTAAATTAAACAAAATTTACAATTTTTCTATTTGACGGCCTACTCCAAACAACAAATTTTTTCTATTTACTTCTTCTATACAATATGTTTGAAGCATACTGTACGGATAAAAAATTATTGGCTTGCATATAAAAACTTTAAGAAAGTGTTGACACTAGATTTGGAAAATATGTATTAAATAATCATCAAATGTATAAAATTATATAATATATAGTAAGGCTTTGATATCGATTAAAGATCTTTGATCTCTATTGAAATTTATACTAAAAAATTTTTTATTATAGCACATTCACACTGTCTCATTTAGACAGTTTTGCCCATTATAATCGCTGATAGGATGATTTACCACACAAACATTTGTCATATAAATGAGCTCATTAATAATAAATCAGCTCTTTTTAGACCAAAAATGTCGAATGCAACCCTTAAAAATTGTTTCCGCAAGGAAATGACCAAAATTTGAAATATTTATCATATGTTTTATATATAAAATGTTATCAAACAACAGCTGAGCTGTCAACAAAGGCACTGAGAAAGTAAGTATTTAATATAATCTTTGTTTTTATAAATCAAACATGTAATTGATATAATATATCATATAAAAATTTAATTTTTTAATTGAAAGTTCTCTTAATTTAAGCCTTCGTTTCAATGAAGCCATTTTCCCTCATTTCATTTTATGTTTAAAAAACAACTTAATATAGTTGAAATGAAGACGAAATTAAGACTTTTGCGCGCTTTGATTTTTAATGTTTGTCTGAACATAGTATTACCGAATACAATGTCAAACTTGTAGCGTACTGTACAACTGACACAGCTGATGCTGCAATGCATTTGTTAAATTTGTTGCATATATTGTTAGAGAGCGCCAAACAAAACAGCTGTTTCTTATTGAAATACTTCAAATAATTTTATATTCTGCATAGTTTCTTATTATTTTATGTATATTAATATTATTAATATTTGTTTTATATATAAAAATGTCTTCGTGTAGTGCTGAAGAAATAGCAGAGAAAAAACGTATTGCTTTAGAAAAATTGAACGCAAAAAAAGCATCTTTAAAGAGTGCTACAACACAAAATAAAAACTGCAGTAATGTTACTCCTCCACATAAGAATACCTATACAGCACCACAACCCGTGAAACCAGTGTCAATAATAAAAACCATCAGTCCAACATCTAAAGTTATTTTACCTAATAATGCAAGCATAAATTTTTATCATAACAAAAATAATAACAATAATCAAAGTGAGCCACCAAAGAACAATGCCAGTAATAATGTTGTCGAAAATAAAGCCTCCTCGTTTCTAAATGCATTAAAACAGAGCAGTACGTTTCCACAACGAGCAAATGCACGTGAATCGACACATCCATATCACCGTAAAGCTGTACAATCAACGAGCCACTCAGCGACAAAAGGACCAACATTAAGTTGTCCGCCAACTAAATTGGCACCAGTTTTTGTTAAGACTGTGAGCTGTAAGGTTTATGTAATAAGTCGCCATACGTTTGCTGTGCAACCATCTGGCTTCCACGCGCAACTAATTGAAGTTTTTAAGACAATACCGTCTAAAAATTTTGGTAAATATTTTGATGCGCAGTTTATTTATTTATATTATTAAAAATTGATTTTTCTCATAGATCGCAATACACGTATTTGGTCTTTTGCACTTAGGGATTATCAGCTAGTCCAAAAAAAGGTAGCCGATTTAAAGCCTGATGTAGTTATTGGTGTGATACCAAAAATTGTTCTCCATTTATGTCAAATGCCGCCTAAAGAGCTTGATCGTTCCTGTTTAAGCAACATTGAGTCAACCTTGGCAGATAAGTTATTACCATTTCAACAGGAAGCAGTTTGGTATATATATTTATATATAAATGTGCACGTTTATTAATATAGTGTTGCAGAAATAAAGTATTTATTTTATTTAGTTTTGCTATTGCTCAGCATGGACGCGTTATGATTTGTGATGAAATGGGTTTAGGTAAAACATATCAAGCGCTTGCTATTGCCGACTTTTATAGAGAAGACTGGCCATTGCTCATTTGCACAACAGCATCGACAAGGTAATTTATTTTTTTATATTCATTTGGTTGTGCGAACTCAATTAAAAATAATTTTTTCTTTGATTTATGTTCCAATTTAGAGAGCCATGGGCTACTCACATACGTCAACTTTTACCAAAAATACCATGCCATTATATTCAGGTTTTAACAAACACTCAACAATATTTTGGTGATGCAAAAGTGCTTATAACCAGCTACAACATGATGGAAAAGCATATGTCCGATTTATTGGCCCGTTCATTTGGTTTTGTTATATTTGACGAATCTCATATGCTAAAAAACCAAAAAGCAAAATGTACTGTCGTTGCAGATCGTTTATCGATGCAAGCCAAGCATGTGGTGTTACTGTCGGGCACACCGGCTTTATCACGTCCTCTCGAACTATTTACACAAATTCAAATGATTGATCGTAAATTTATGAATTTTATGGATTTTAGTAAGAAGTAGTCTATATAAATAATTATTCATAGTTTTTTAAATTTTTGCTTATATAGCTTCTCGCTACTGTGATGGAAAGCAATCAACATTTGGTTGGGATGCTACTGGTCAATCAAACCTAGAGGAATTAAATGTGGTGCTGAAACTAAAATATATGGTGAGACGTACAAAAGCAGAAGTGTTACCTGAATTAGCTGAGAAGTTTCGGTAAGTATAACTTTTGCATATTATGTATATAGTTATAATGTGAAAAAAGCGCAATTCTAGAATTATAAAAATAAAGTTTCATAAATAGTTTTTATTAAGAAATAAAATAAATTTAAAAATAATAATATAATAAAAATAAATTTTTCAATTTAAAAATTTCCTCACTATTTCGCATTTTAAATATTAGGTGGCTGTTAAGATGAAATTATCGTCTAACTACGCGGAATTCAGTTAATTACTATATCATATTTTCTTTTATACTTTTTTTTATCGTTTTACAATTATTTTATCTTAAGTTATTTTAGATTTAATTAGAGACTGTAACAATGAGGTAAATACCTTTGAGATAAATTGGCTTATTAATATGGAAGTAATTCAAATAATATGTTAATGATTTAATAATTTATATGATATATTTAAAATTAATATGATCTGATATATAATAATGTTTTAATCTAATTTAAAAAATATATGTACATTTTATACTAATTTACTTACTAATAATTTTTTATTGCAGTGAAACCGTGGTTTTGGATCCAGCGCTTGTTTGGTCTAATGATAGTTCTAAAGATACATTGGACGAAGTTTCGAAAAACTATCTTGCCAGCAAGGGAAAACAAAAAGAAGAAATGCTTCTAAGACTTTATGCTGAGACTGCCAATGTTAAAAAGCATGCAGTGTGGTAAGAATTATTGAGGAATTACTAAATTACTGAATAATAATTGACAAACACAAATTTATCTATAATTCCAGTTCATATATCAAAGCTCTGGTAAAAGAAAATAAGAAGTTTATTGTATTCGGACATCACCGCATAATGTTGGACTCAATAACCGAATGTTTGGTTAAACTGAAAGTGAAATTTGTAAGAATAGATGGAAGTACAAGAAACGATTTGAGAGCTGTAAGTGTTCTATATTGCAAATCATTATAAAAACACACCATTTACACAGATATATTTATATTTATATTTATTTTTATATTCATATTTATATTTATATTTATATTTATATTTATATTTATATTTATATTTATATTTATATTTATATTTATATATATTTATTTATATTTATATTAATATTATATATATTTATATTTATATTTATATTTATATTTATATTTTTATATTTATTATATTTATATTTATTATTATTTATATTATATTTATATTTATATTTATATATTTATATTTATATTTATATTTATATTTATATTTATATTTATATTTATATTTATATTTATATTTATATTTATATTTATATTTGTATTATGCACATTAATTATATTGTAATATTTGTAATATATCTATGATATTGACATTATATATACTCGTATTTCTATTATTTATATTTATGTATATATTATACAATTTTATTACTTATACTATTTATATTATTTTTACTTATTTATTATATTTTTTTATATTTTTATATTATGTTCACAATTTATATTATTATTATTATTCACATTATTTTTGTAATTAATATTATTTATGTTGTATAAATGATGGATTATATTTATATTATATTTATAATATAAATTATTTATAGTATATATGTTATTTATATTATGTATATTTGTTTATTTACTATATTTATTTATTTATTATATATATTTATTTATTTATTATATATATTTATTTATTATATTTATTTTTTATTATATTCATTTATATTTATATTATGCATATAATTTATATTATATAAATAATTGAAATTATTTATGTTATATATTTTTTATGTTATTAACATTATATATATTATATTTAATACATATTTATATATTATATTATTTATACATTTATATTTATATTAAATTATTTTTAAATTAAATTTTTTATACTGATTTAAAAAGATATTAGAAAATGGAATCAAAAGTGTGGAATAATGTATTTTTAATTTTTATTAAGGAATATGTTGATAGATTTCAAAATAAATCATCGTGCAAAGTGGCTGTTTTATCTTTAAAGGCATGTAATTCTGGTATCACACTTACTGCAGCTGAACTGATAATATTTGCAGAACTTGACTGGAATCCAAGCGTAATTATTATTTATTACTTTTGATTATTATGGATTGTTATGGATATTATGGACTTACAAATATAAATAAATTTTTCTTTGATTATACAGACGTTAGCCCAAGCAGAAAGTCGTGCACATCGTATTGGTCAGGAAAAGCAAGTAATATGTCGCTATTTAATGGCTACGAAAACCGCAGATGATTTCATTTGGAACATGTTGAAAAATAAACAGGATGTACTGAATCGCGCTGGATTATTCTGCGAAGATTTGCAAGATGCTAAAAGTACTGCAGCGCCATTAATGGTTATTTATAATTTAATAAATAAAGATAGTTTTAAGTCTTTTTTATTAATTTTTTTAATTACAGTCCAACACACTTGAGAAGTTCTATTCACCTAGTAATCGGACCAAACAACAATCGGCACCGGTGAAAGAACCGATTTCGAAAAAAATCAACGCTGATAAAAACGAATCAAGCAATGAATTAAACACGTTTCTTAAAGATGATGACGATGATGATGCTTTTATGGATCTGGTATTCTAATATTATTGTGACGTAATTGTACCTATTTTTGAAATTTTTTAATATATTTATAGAATCTTAATATAAGTTGAAAAGTGATGAGTTATACACATAATACATATATACTTTTACAAATTTTAAATAAATGTAAATTTTGTTGGCTTACGATGTAGGTAATTATTATTTAATCTTTGGATATTTAGATATATTTTTTTTTTGTATGGATTCATATATTTCATTGAGTTACTTGACTCTTCTTTGTCAATCTTTAAAGAAAACAAAAAACGTTAGTTTCGAAAACAAAAAACGTTAGTTTCGATGTAAACTCAGTCTCAGAGATGTCAATGTGACAATGTCACGGAAACAAAAAATGGAATTGACAAATGCAATAGGCTCTACGGATATGGCGCTATTAAAATGTCTATGCAACGTTTATTATGCGCTGTTACAAAAAGGATGAGCACGTGACATATGTTGATAGCTGGTTTAAGTACGTTTTTCCTGTGGTTGAACTAAACTGGATATTATTTCTGTCTCTCGCAGATTTACGGGACCCACACTAGTACAGCATAAACAATTATAGATGTACTCATTTGCTTTGTGTAATATATGTTTACACGGACTTTTTTATTTTTTCCACAAGAACAGTATGCGATCTCTTGCAACATGCTACAATGACACCTACTCCACAATGTGCTGCTATGTATGGAGATGAGCATATGTACAAGTCTATCGATTTGAAATGGGCAGACTTATAGAAACTTTTTAAGTACAGGAAGTGAAGAGGATGGTCGAAGATTTTTTTAAAAATAAGTGAAGATTGTTATCAGTAAAGAAAGCGGTTATTAAATGAACAGAATTATTGGAACTTTGACTCCATTAAAGATCAAAATTCTGGTTCTTGAAGAACCGTTCTTCCCTACCTAACAATGGTGAAATCTCTTGTCCAATTGTTCTATAGTGTTGTTCTATTCTGAAAATAGAAACTTTGTATAAATCAACTTTTTTATTTGAAGCAACACTTAGATAGTATTGAGAGTGAATCTTATTAGTGTGAGCTTTCTAGTGTGAGAAATGGTGTTATATTAATGATTGTTATGACAATGATTAGTATTTTCTGTAGACTTTTTTTTTTTGATGTTGGATACAAAATAATTTTTTAACATATTTCTAAGGCAAGAAAAATTTTAGTTAGGAATAGTAGATGGTGGTTTTAATAGATTATTTCAAAGAGAATCTAGGCATATTTAATAATATATTAAGAAAATAAACTTATTTGTAGTAAATTCATAATGAATGAGTTTAAATCACATTAACAGTGAATTAAGACACTCTAAAATGAATGCCAAAAGGGCGCCCAATCAAAAAACTATAATACGATCCGACTGATTTTACAATCGTAACTTAAGTGAGTCTCAACTTATCAATTTTTTTGACTATATACTGTAGTTTAAAATGTACGAAACATTAATCTGGCTGTGGGTAACGTATGGTTGCGAGACATGGAGATTAACTGAAGCTGAAGCGAATAAAATATCAGTATTTGAGAAAAGAATTCTATGAAATAAATTTGGGACCTCTAAACAAGAAAACGGGGTATACCGCATAAGATGCTATCGGTCACGTTATAAGAATGCCAGAAACAAGAGCGCCACACAAGATACTCGAAAATGGTATCAGAAGCAACAGAAGAAGAGGAATGCGAAGAAAACGATTTAAAAACAGTGTCCAAAATGATCTAGGAAAGTTAGATATAAGAAACTGGTAAGAGAAAGCAGGGAGCATAGAAAAATGAAAGGTAGATAGATTAGGTTCTACACGGACTGTCACGTCAAGAATGATGATGGAGGATGATGAAAACGATTTAAAGACAGTGTCCAGAATGATCTAGGGAAGTTAGATATAAGAAACTGGTAAGAGAAAGCAACGAGCATAGAAAAATGAAAGGTTAATGTAAGATAGATTAGGTTCTACACGGACTGTCACGTCAAGAATGATGATGATATACTGCAATTAGATTTAAGACTTAAGTTTTGATTTTGATATCGGGACTAAAATAATACGTTCCTTCATATAGCCAATTTTTTAATAAATGAAGAATATTTTTCAAAATTTTAATTTCTATATTTTAATTTCTATGTTTCTAATCATCCTCAATTCTTCGTTTGAGGTGTTTAAGTTATGTTGAGTGGTGTGTGAAGAAATGTTATCCTAGTAACACAAAATTAAATAATATTTAATCGATTGTCAGAAATGAGGTTTATTTCTCTGGTAATGTAAAAAATTAAAGAAGGAAGAAAATTTTAATTTTGATTCTTAAAAATATTTTTGTGTGCATAAACAAGTTGCAATATAAAAATAAACAAATAAAATATAAAACTGACTGTGAATTACAATGGATAGACATCAGAGGCATTCTCAGTTCACATATGAACAATTCAATCTTAGGTAAATTAAAATTTATACAAAAACGATATAAGTTAGTCACGATTGTATATATTCTTTCAGATATTCATTTGGTTACGATTGTAAACGTTTGCGAAATTTGTGTCACATTGACAAGAATACTTTGGTCTTTGCATCCGGCAACTACATCCATTATTTCGATATAAACTCCAAGAGAGTCACGTTTAAAGAAACCAAGTACGGTGGTTGCATTGGATTTATAACAGTAAATTCAACGTAATATATTTTTCTGCCCATTTTATCTAAAGGTTTAACTAATTTTTTCATAGCGAAACGAACATCCCAGATTTATCAAGTTGCTTACTGTTGCTGAGAATGGCAGCAGGCCTATTATATTTATATATGAATACCCTTCACATAAGATACGTATCACACTTATAGATGCGGCGAAATCTTGCTTTACTTGCGGAGCATATCATCCGAATGGTGAAATCTTTGCTTCACAGGCAGGCTATCCGGATTTCATGCTTACCATTTGGCGCTGGCAAAAAGCTGAGATTGTTTTGCGTGCTAAATCTTTTCAGAGCGATATTTTATGTGTCCATTTTTCATTGTACAATCCAATTATGATTGTTACCGCCGGAGTGAGCCACATTAAATTTTGGAAAATGGCCAACACATTTACGGGACTAAAGTTGAAAGGGGATTTGGGTCGTTTTGGTAAAACAGATTTTAGCGATATTTATGCAGTGTACATGTTGCCAGATGAAAATGTTATATCCGGCTGCGAGTGGGGTAATATGTTGCTATGGGAGGCTGGCCTAATTAAATTTGAAATTTGTCGTAAGGATGGTAAGCCATGCCATGCAAAACCGATAACCGGTATATCTCTGCGAGACGGTGAGGTAACTACAATCGGTATGGATGGTTATGTGCGCGTATGGTATTGGGAAACAGTTGATATAGCCGATCCTCCTGATGATCATCGTTTTGTAGAGATTGAGCCAATTTATGAAATTTACATCGGAGATTGCGAAATAAGGGGTTTACAAAAAATTAAACCTTTTAATATAAATGATCACACATACTATGTACAGGTAAAATCTACTTGATAGAATAACTCAATATGATATTTTTAATTTCGTAATTTTTTTTTACGAAACTATTTGCTCACTTTTTTGATAGGATGGTAATGGTGGTATTTGGTGGAGTGATATAAGTACTAGAGAAGTGCCGAGAAAGTCTTATAAACTTTATTCATGTCAAGGTGGTAAAGTTGTTGCAGGTGCAGCAAGTCCAGTTGGTCATCAGTTTATGACTTTGGGCGAAGATGGGAAAATATTCTTATATGATTACAAAAGACATTATGTAATGATCGAGCATAAATTTGACGCAAGTGGTACGGATCTGTTGTGGTTTAATAGAGCTATTTCAGTTACTGGTATGGAAATTGTCGCTAGCTTTGGCAATGGTGTTGTAAGGCATTTGTACATCGATATAGGTGGTAGAAAACTTAAATTATTGCATGTTTTTAAGCCACATGTAGCAAATATAACAAAGATTAGCATAAATGTACTAGGGAATATATTAGTAAGTGCATCTGCTGATAAAACATTATTTATATTTCGTATGGATCGTACCCCACAACATTTGCTTAAAATGAAACCAATGGGATATATAACGTATACTTCAATACCAAGAGCCCTTAATTGGCATAGAAATCAGGTTTGTGATTTTATTACCAGTTATTATCTCATCACTTATATGCAACACAACTTCGCTATTACAGCCAGACATTATTTTAGTGGGCACTACAGCTGGTGAGATTTATGAAACAAAACTCGTTATTGACGTCACTGAAGAAGAGACATATTTGAGTTATGATATTAATTCGAGAGTAACCCATAGATATACGAAATTTGTTTCGGTAAAGAGTAGAATAAGGCGTGATATTAGACGAGAGCAAATAAAAAGAAGAAAGGAATTAAAACGTCAACGCAAAATGGAGGATATAGAGAAGCTTTTACGAAATAATCCAGGACTACAAATTGATTTAGAAATCGCTTTAGGTAAATTTTAAATCATTTAAATATATTTTTTAAATAATTAAATAATTAATTTAATAATTATAGATTTTATTTTAATTATAATTTACAATACATATATATCAATAATAAAAATATAACTAATTTGGTATTTTGAGAGAGTTGAGAGCTACCAAAGCCAAATGGAACTCTTCCAGAAAAACAAGTTGATATCCCGTGATTCTGCTGTTAATGAAATCAAACGCATAAGCCGGATTAGAGAGGTCGCGGGTGTTAACTTGTATAATTTTAGAACATAGAGCATCAACTTTCACTAAAACAGTGTCAAAGATTAAGGGTTATATCTTCGCTAGTATTATGTATTTTAGTTTAGGTGACTGTATAATTATTTTAACTAAAATTTTGCGAAAATTTCGATACTTGCTTTTTATTATTTTAATAAATTTTTTTATATGTAATACCTAGCTGATTCTGAACCAGACGAAGAAGAAGAACCATTATACATACCTCCAAAACCTAATCCAATCCTATGGTTGAGATATATTAACAAGGATTCTGTATGGGTCTCAATGGGTGGCTATGACTCTGGATATAGCTATGAAATAGGATTCCATCATCATGAACCAATACGCTCTAGAATTGTGCCTGATGCTGATGATCTGGAAATACATTCTTACTTAGACATGCAAGCATAAATAATATATATCATATGAAGTTAAAATAATTGCTATAATACTATTTTTAGTGAAAATTTCTTAGTATTTGGATTTATTAATGGCAAAATACGTGTTACGCGTACAGTTCCAAATGATTTTACGCAGCTAAGGAATTACTCGTCTAAAACTATGCATGATCTGCGCACTGGAATTGTATCACGTTTATTTTTAAGTCATGATGGTTCATATTTATTTTCTACCGGTTACGATGGTAATATATTTATGTATAGTTGGCATGGTCCAAAAGTTGTGCAACCAAAAAGTGCATTACATTTGCAACCAATACTACCACCACTCGTAGAAGATATTGATGATCCGGAACAACCCTCCATGGAACAAGAGAAAATATATGCTGAACAGAAACGTCAAGCGGATGCAGCACAAGCTCATGAAGAAAAAATAACTACTGAAATTGCTGAGCTACAAGTAAGGTTTAATGAATGTATCCGTGAGATGAAAGATTTCCCTGATCAGAGTCATGTGGAAACTTTATCAATGTTACAAGATGAGAAAGTTATTGACGAAATTCGAGATGACCTCAATGCACAATTAGAGGATGTATATGAAGATATGGCTTATGATGTTGAATATATCGAATTAGCAAAAACAAAACTATATAATTACTTTATAAGGGAATTGGATTATATACCAATCAAAATACCCAGCATCAAGTAAGCAATCTTTAAATACTCCACCAAGAAACATAGAGTCGTTACAAACATTTTCTATTGAAAATCTACTATTCCTGCTATTAATAGATGCCCGAGTCTTGTGCTACATAGAGGGCATTTTTTGGTGGTATCTTTTGTCTGAGTCAATTTTTGCTCAGTAGTTGGAGATTGCTTAGTTCTAAATCACGAATAGGTGTTACATATTGTGTTAAGTCAGCATACCACATTACAAAAACCTGAAGAAGTTAGGTGCTGTTTGTAATTATATTCCAGTTCTCACTGTTACACAAAAGTGGAGCTTAAACATTACTAGTGAATAATTTGATTTTTGTTCCGGGATTACCATATTTTATTAAGTGTTTAAAACGCTTTTCGAAGCTATATCTTTTTCAATCCACCATTTTCAAATTTCTTAGAGATATGTGATAGTAATGTAAATTGAAAATTAAGAAGAAGTTTTGAAACTTTAAATATAGAACCTTGGTTCTTCGATGCTACTTTATTATTATTATTATTATTATTATTATTATTATTATTATTATTATTATTATTATTATTATTATTATTATTATTATTATTATTATTATTATTATTATTATTATTATTATTATTATTATTATTATAATTATTATTATTATTATTATTATTATTATTATTATTATTATTATTATTATTAATTATTATTGTTAAGGTATGTTGCACTGCGATCGTCAGGTCAGTCGTGCCCTCTTTTGGGTTTAGTGTAGGTTTCTAAGCCTTATTAGAGGTACTCTAGAACCTACCTTACAGAGTTTTACTGCCTCTTCTGTAAGAATATACATACCCAGGAGTCTATTCAGTTTGTGCATTAGCGCAGGGCATTTTAACAGCACATGTGTGACCGACTCTTCATTTTCTTTGCAGAATCTAAACTTTGATATATACGGCTGATGTGTACCCAGTCTCGTAAGGTGGTATTTTAATTTACCGATGCTACTTTAATACTTTATGAATTTATTTTGGAATATTAAGCTTTGGTTCTTCGATGCTACTTTAATACTATATGGATTAATAGTGTATTAAAGTCATAGAAAATATATTATACGATGAAGTAATATTCTTATTGATCTAGAAGTCGATGTTTACATTTTTAGTTTACTATATTGAAGATGTATCTATATATAGTTTACTATATATTCCAGTTTTATAGTTAAAATTCTTTTAAACAAGTCAATGTCATGCAAGTGGAAATAGATGATTAAATCATTTCTGCAAATCGTAAAATTTTTGTAAAAAGTAATATTTTTTAATTTCGTATATTTAACACAGCGGCCTTGAAGCAGTCTTTGCTTTTCGTATGGTGGGTCTACATGAAGAATTCCAAGCATTAAAGGACGATGTTAAGCGCCGTTTACTTTTAGAAACAAAAATCGAGTAAGTATAATTTTATGAATTACTTATATAAAATAAAATTGTTCACATTAAATTATATATAATATTACTATAAAACAATGCTGCATTAGGGAGGATAAGCCAGTGATAATTAAACCAGAGTAAGACATACTGATTTTGCTTGAGATTTTTTTTTCACTTTGATTTCACGGCATCAAAAGAATTGCACCTTTACATCACAATATAGCATAATTCAAATTTTTTAATTTTATGTTTTATTTTATATAATATATATATTTATATATATATAAATAATTGTAGTTAAGATATACTGCATCCAATCTGAATAAAATAATACTAGTACTAGGAAAATTATATAATGAGATGCGTCTTTTAGAAATATGTTGGGTATCAGATCCAAAAAAGAAGCCAGTTGAGGAAACACTTTGTACGAGTACCGCTGTTTATATAATATGTTTTAATCGATATCGTCGTACAGGGTATCTTCCAAGAGTAATCAGCATCACATGGAAGCAATAAATATTGACTCATAGACAAGAACTTTATATATATTAGGTTTCTGGGATACTTTTCAACAAATTAATTTATTGTAATTATTTCATTTACATATTTTTTCAACAAAATTTTGTAATTTTAAAATAATACCATACTATACTATAGAAAATTTTTCGAACTAAATAACATAAGTGCAAAAGTGAATAATGACACACGATTCTTGAGATATTGAAGATTTTTTGACTAAGGGTTTTTGTGTGCCGACTTATCTTTGATACCATGTGATTCGATTAATAATGAAAATTTATCCTTACTACTGAACGATATTTTTTAAACCAAGATATAATATTTACTACATTTTTTTTTTTGGTGGGAAGGTGAAATACTTAATGGTGTGCCCGACTTACATATGTAGTATACAAACTAAAACACTCGCTTTTTAGAGAGATTTATTCTCTCGCATTAATTCGGGAAGGGTGTCTTTTATATTGGCGTTGCAAGCCTTTTGATTATTGATCTGCGTCCAGACATTCGCTTTTTCGCCCTATTTATTAACCTAGTTTCTGCTTCTCTTTTCTAGGTCTAATTTCTTCTAATAAATTTACTTCACTGAAGCCATTTATTTAGAAAAATCTTAAATATACGAACATATATAATAATATTTTATAATTAGTACTTTTGGTAAGTAATTTGATCATGTCTATGATATGAGGAGTTTTTCTAAATGTATATGACTTAGCATTCCTGAAAGGATGTATGTATTTCTGATCTATATAAAAAATATGGTTGCAATATTAGTATTAGTATATTGTGTTAATATAACTAATTTAAATATAACAAATAACAAATATAACAAATTTGTTTTTATTTTACATTAATTTATAATAATATATTCATTTTTATTTACTAATTTTTTTAATTTTTATATTATCACGAAATTCAAGACTATTTTCTTATCACATTGTTTAGAATCCGTAGAAAGGCTGCTGTAGAAGAAGAAGAACCTTTCGAACCAATACCACCAGAAGAAGAATACTTCTTTGGACTTGATCCAGATACACTGTTACCACGTTTCACCAAACGAATGATGAGGGTTTTAGTACAGTATCGTCAACGATTCATTGATGATCAGTATGCTGTACATGATATGGAAGTATGGGAAAAGAAAGAACCGGATCCAACAAAAAATCTGGAAGATGATGATATTGCGTTGGAAATTGCTAAAAAAACAATCGGTGATCACAAATTAAAGTTAGGTTATGATTTTGAGCCTCAGCCGCATGAGACCGTAACTTATAAATATTTTGAAATACTAGAATTGGAGGAAGTCTATTTTAATATTTTAACGAAATTTAATCGTAAAATTTTCAAAGTGCGCGAAGAAAAGTCTAAACTATTCGAATATTTGAATGCTCAGTATTTACGCATAAGTGAAATTCATTCGTTGATACCACCACATATTAAATTGTATTTACCAGATATTTTACCAATAAATAGAGAAGAAGAAAGTCCTGAATATAATTTAGTGCCACTAGCCAAAACCGACTATGACATAAACATTGATTCATTGCTTTATATGGAATATACAGTTGATGATTTATTGAATGATATTGATAGACGGAGAGAAAGGGAAAGACGGATAAAATCAAATCATACTCCATTATTTGTAAGTGAACAGCAAAAATTTAGATCGTACAATATTCCCGAAGTAGGAGAATTTGATGAAAATACAATACAAAATCAGTTACGAAAATTACCAGAACTGACATCGTCAATTTACTTTAAGCCTTTTTTCGAAGACGGTGTAACATCGCCATGGCTTCGTGAATGCCAATATCGTTACCTTGTAAATTATGCGCATGAGCAAAGAGAAATCATACAAAGCTCTCTCGATAAAATGGAAGGATTTAATGTTAAGATACAACAAATGGCAAAAGATCGCTATTCCCAAAAGTTTGTAAGTGAATTCATACACACCTATTTGACATCAATGGATCAAGAACTAATAGTGTTACGAGATAGTGAAACAATTGAAAATACTTTGAAGGAGAATTCGGAAATAGCTCTAAAATCGATTGCCAAAATGGATAAGGAAATTATTAGATTAACAGAAATAATTGAAGAACACCGCAAAGTAGCAGATGAACTAATAGAAAATATAACGTTTCTATCAAATACCTTCTTGAACAGCATAAAAAATCATCCATTCTTTAATTTCTTGCGCAGAATATTCAAAAAAAAGTATAGACCACCCAAACCACCTAAAACTACTGATGGTAAGTGAAGGACAAATTACGTTTCTTGTATTTACCTTCATCTGTTTTTCAAAAATAGAGTAAAGCTAGTTGGTTGCAGTAACTGATTGGCATATACCCTTCTGCCTTTCATAATTAGCAATTATTTGTGATTTTAATACCACATTTCTCGCAAAAAATCCCTATAGGTGAACGAGATTCATTTAGTTGAGTTTATGTAGCCATACGGATTCTGTATTTTTACTAATGAGTAGTCTGACAGATTGTTAAGAAAATACTTAGGTGAGTTAAGTATTTATACACCAGATCAATAAAAAAATTAAAAAAAGGTGAAAAGATAAAGGCGGTTTGCGCATAGACACTGTCGAAAGGAATAGGCACTACGCCCTATACTTCTTGATTTGAGCGATTTGTCATCTTTCCAAATTAGAGATACAGCCAAGCTTAATGACTTGTTAGGTTGGTTTAAATTCAAGTAAAAGTAAACACAAAACTGATAAGTCAATAAACTTGGCTATAAAGTTGAAAGGTGGACAGCTCTGACACATCGGTAAGAAAAGGAGCCTCGAAGGCCTTAAATCTTAATGATCTGTAACGAGCTTACACATTCATTTTTTGCTATTGTTTTTATTCTACTTAATAACTGATGCATTCGCTAGTAACTTTAGTTATTAACCTAAAATTTGATGTTTTTAATATTTTCAAATACTTTAGAATATAGCTCAATCCGTTTTGAACTAAAATAATTTTGATTTTTCGTTAATTTAGAGTCATCATCATCGACATCATCTGATGATGAAACGACGTCGGAAGAGGAAAATGTAGACGACAAAAGTCTCGACTCACAAGACATGACTACCATACGTTTGGATGAAGAGCATTGTCCTGAAGGCTTGGAGAGAAGTACTTATGACGCGGCATTCGTACAAAGAGCAGAAAGACATGAGTTAGAAAGGACATTACAGGAGGAGCAAAAATTTATAAATGAACATGTCAGAGAGCTCAAAGGATGTGAAAGAGAAAAACATAATGCAACATATAAATTTAATCAACAAAAGCGAAAGTTATTTGAATTCCGGGTAAGTTTCTATAATAAGAAAGTTTAAATTTTCCATTTCTTTCCATATGATTTTTTTTCACATTTCGTAAAAATAATTATTTATATATGTTTATTTTTATAATTTATAAGACGCTGCGGCAAGCAGAGCTGAATAGAATAAAAGTCGCCGTTGTGATTAAAGTTAAGCAGATACAACATTTTTATAAAGATCCCATTAAGGAATTGGATGACGGCATACTTTTTGAGTGGATGCATTTGGTGCGATTGAGAAAACGTGTCAAGTCACTGAAATCTGAAAATAGAGAAGTCAATCGAGAATACAGAATGAATATAATCCATTTAAGACGCATGAGAGCAGATATCAAATTCATGAGAAAGGAAAACAAGCGGCTAAAAATTGTTATTAAGGATGAAACATATAAGAAGTTCGGCATTTTTCTCGAAATCGATGAACTGGATGAGGAGATGCTGACTAAGTTTGTTTTTGATATGGAAACGAATTCCGATGCGCTCTATCGAAGAATTAATAGACAATGTAGTAGGCTTGAGGTAAATAAGAAAGACATTTTCAAAAAGACAAAAAAAACTGTATTTAAAATAGTTAATAGTCGGTTGGTAAGGGTTGATTTCTCTTAAAACATAATAAAAAATCTGCTTACAAATTGTCCGTCTGTTCTTCTTAAGGCTGGATATTCAATATTTCTGGTACTAACATAGTATAAAGTTGTTTTAGTTCTGCACTTAAAAACTTTTTTTTTCAAATTAAAAGTGGCTCTCCAGCTTGTTAGGATGGTTTAAAATATTTAGTCACGACTTTGGTGGCATAATTACTTTCATTGTGCCTCCTTTTTTCTTTACCATATCTTAGGTAAGGTTAGGTCCGATTATTGTAATGATCATTAGGATTATCTTAAGCCTGTTATCCAATTGTGTTACCATAAACAATTTTTTCGTCTTTCATAAACTGCGTTATCAGTCAGTGAAGAGCATATTTAACCTTCTAGCATGGTTTCCTAACCCATGGTAACTTATAAGCATTCTTACTAAAAGACTGGTAGTTTAACGGAGTGATGTGCTCCTATAATTAAACCTATAGTTAGTTTATCATTATTTGTATAAGACAGTTCTTATTCAATTCAATCATGATCAACCTAACCCATGGTGAGTTATTAGTATTCGTACTAAAAGACTGGTAACTTAACGGAGTGATGTGCTCCTATAATTAAACCTATTCTTATTCAATTCAATCATGAACAGACTTTTTAATACATACTCATATACCTCCAGACATTAAAGCAATATAAATTTATTATAATATATAAATATATACCTAATGAAATATTTTTAGAAATATTTAGTACCATTAGAGGAAAGGCTTATTGAACTAACAAAATCGTCCACATCAAAACGTAACATTTTGATAATGCTTAGCGAGGAAAGAAAATATATGCAAAATTTGATAAAAACCCAGAGAGCTGATTATGAAAAGTACAATAGGCCACCGGATTTGGAATTAGTAGAAGAAATTGAAAAACTTGTCTCTACAATACATCATCAAGAAGATGAAATCAAGGTAAGATCTACTATATATATGAAAATTATAGATAACAGCCAAACTCATAATATGTGTATGTTTACATTTATATATTGTTTATGCGCTTATGTACAAGTTAACATATATATAAGAAGTGAAAAAAGATAATGAAAAAACTCGTATCGCTAAAACTGAAAAAAACCTTCTGAGTCTCTTAATATATTTACATATATTCTTTAATCTGAATTTGTTGATTTAGTTTCTGATATTCGTGTTGGTTTGAAACTAAGTGAGTTTTTGGACCATACAGATTTTCAAATCTGAATACATGAAAGTAAACGTTAGTCAAATGTATATATTAGTAAATAGGTGTATTAGAAAAGCAAAAATCAACTTTTCCTCCAAAATAAAGTAGAACAACACCTTGTTCTATTAAAATGATGATAAAGTACTGCCGAATTGCATAGAATCTATATGTTAGTGCCTGAAAATTACATATATATATATAATACCTTCTCCATCACTACCTTCAGCTCACAAATAGGTAGGGTAGAACACCTGTTGTTCGCTAAGATGGTAGCATGAGGATCATCGGGAAAGTAAGAGATTAACTGTTGGGTATGTTCGCTTAGGATAACGTTGGATCCCGTTGATTCGTGATATCAATGATGTGGTGTGATTAATTTGCCTCACTGCGAAGCATGCATATATGAAGGTATGTATGTGGAGAAGAAAGGGGAATGAGTCATTCTATATAGGATATCTACGATGTGTAAAAAAAATTTTATGCTATATACAATTTTTATCAAAATAATACTATGTATATATGTAGGCTGCATCATGCATGTTTCGTATTTATAGCATGTTAGGACAATAGTTATGAATACAGTAGGCTACTGGTAATGGCAAAGTATTATAATATGTAAGAATGGTCCCGATAAAGAATCGACACCACTGATAATAAGCTAGCCTTATGTCTTCTATTTATTTATATTTTTACTATTACTATTATTATTATCAACATTATTATTACTACTATTATTAGTATTACTATTAGTATTATTTTTTTACTATTATTAACATCATTACTACGTGTACTCAACCTTTATACCTTTACCTGTAGTAGTTCCCTAATAAATTGACTAGCCAACTAATGAGGCCATGTCTGTTAGACAGCCAGTTTTTTGATCCTCCAATGATAAAGCTACGGTAGTGCCTAGGCGAAACGCATAAGTGGAAACTGTTAGAGGATTGAGGACATAACACTGTTTTCAAATATCTGTTGATATTTTCTTTAGTTTCACATAATATATTTCCCCCTGACACAAATGGACGATAGATGATGAATACATTATTTATTCATTCATTTGTTTATTTATGTAATTATTTATATAGTTATTTATTCATTTGTTGACTTAAGTTTATAAGTTATTATAAGTAATTCATTTAGTTATATTTACATTAATTGAGTCAGGTTATTGTATGTCGGTAAAATAAATTATCATTTTTAGAAAGTGTTAGGGCTAAGTATATCTATGTGCTAATTTCCAGTGGCTAACCACCACTGTTGCCCAGGTATTGTCATTAAACAATATACTGAGGGCATGGCTTTGTAACCATGACATGTTTATGAGGCCGTGACAGTGATAAAGCTTCGGAAACTGGAGTTTTGAGCACAAAGAAAAAGTGTACAGAATAAAAATATACATAACACGTTCGTTATTGAACCATCACATTAAGTGATCAATTAATGAAATAATAATATGGTGGGAACATCACTCTATATGCCTTCTATTGGGTATGTCCATGTGTTAGTAAGGCAAGCCTCACTACCTTATTTTTGTTCATTTCATTTCAAATCATACTTTTTTATATCAATACAAATACAAATTTTAATTTTATTATAAAAATTTAATTTAATTTAAATATTTAATAATAATAATTATATGGATTTGTTTTAGTGTATAGAACGTGAGATATGTAAACTACGTACGAAACCGAAGCCTCTACAAGTCGTTCCGATTCCTGTTGGTGAAGAAGGATTTATTGAAGAAATATCTGAAGCGGAAGAAGAAATATGTCCGGAGTTTACGAAAACCTTTGCTTTCGATATGCGTAAAATTCCAGATGAATTTACTTTAGAGCGTGTTGAATCGGTTGTTTTAAGAACATTTGCGAAGTATTTACGGAGTCATTCGAGTGAGGAAAACATACGGAAATGTGGACGAAAAGTAACACGTTATTTAACACAAGCGGCACAGACATTACAAGGTGAAATTAGCGACCCCATCATTGAGTGCATTACCGAAAATATGCAAGCCCTCATGCCTAAAAAATATTTAATTTATCTTAGCAATGAGGCTTTGAGAAAGTTGTTCACTGATATTGTTGCTATTGTGGAGTATGAAATATCTGAAGTTAACTCTGAAGAAGTAATAACAAGTGCGATCGCCAATGCTTTCGATGAATTACCAGAAGATCCAACTATTCTGAATAAAACACAATATCTTCTTGAAAGACTTTTTGTAGAACTAATTGATGTGTTGACTTTGGAAGAACTTGAAGAGCATCGTCATTTACTTGAAAATTTATTAGCACAAAGTAAAATTATACAACCACGTTGTATAGATCCTTTCAAAATAATAAATCTAATGAACAAACATGCAAAAAAGAATCTAATGGATCACATAACATTAGCAGGAATACAACGTATAGTACCGTTAATACGTGATGAACTTATGGAACTCATATATTCAAAATTAGATTGCAAGGTTGTAAATGATTTTATAGATATAAAAAGAGTTAAGATGAAGAAACCCAATGAGTACTGAATTAATATTTAATTTTTTTAAGACGTTGTTATTAATTTTCTTATTTATAATTAATATAATTTGTATATTTCATATAATTACTTTATTAATAAATAAATAAACATACATTGTTTATTCATTTTACATATATTAGTTTGAATTAAGGAAAAATGTTTTTTTTAAAAATTTATATATATAAATTATAAAACCCTAAAGGATAAAATAATTTTATATAAAAAGGATAAAGCCCTAAAATTATTTGATAAATCTGACAGACTTACCAACACCGCGTTATCAAATCTCAGAATGGTTACAGGCTCCTCGGGGAGGTATGCAGATCTGAGGTCAATTATTGCTTAGTCTGATGAAGTGATAAACAATAATCTAGTCAAGACGCAAAGAGGGGTTTTGAAGAAACATCGCAGTTAATAGAGAGTAAAAGTGCTCAGATGCACTGATTCAACTAGCCTCAACATAATAGTAGTGAAAAAGAAAATTTTTAACCGAGAGTCAAATAAAATAAATAGTTAAATAAACTAGGTTAATAAAATATAGTCACCAATTGATTAAGTTAAGGCTTTGTAGTAACAAATCGGCATTTATATGCTACTTATACAGAAGTGAAAACTTCTACCACAAAAAAAAACCAATCAATTCACTATAACCATAAGCTTCAGCTAATGACAAACAGTATATAAAAGCTTAGCATGTACCAGTGATATAATGCTCTCCCATTACAGGGGCAAATAAGTCTAAGAAGAATAGATTCCACTCTTGATAATATAAATACATAATATAAAAATATAGTGAAATGTACAAAAACACTGCACAATCCTGGCTACGCTACTAACATATACTATGTCCTGTGCAGGATGCAATCATGATGGATTAATGTCCCTGCATGTTTTTGTTGTAAGAACTAGATTAAGACCGTATAAAAGATGTATTGATACTCCGGAAATTGGCTTCACCCAAATGATTTTATGAAACTATAGGCGAATAAGCGTTCACCGATATAACTAGAAATAAATATCAAAAGAAAATCTGGCTTAGCTACAGCGAGAACTAGATTATAAAGTGATAATATTTGTAATAAAAAAATGCTTTTACTACTTTTTTGCAGTTTTTTTAATTCCATTCTAGAGAAAATTAAATTCAACACAATAAATATATTTAATGATAAATATTAATGATATGATAATATTAATATTAATGATAAATAGATGATAAATGAGCAATAACAAAGTCGCAGCCATGAAAAAACAATTAAAGAGAATAAAAAAAAATTAAATTATGTGAAATATAAATAATATTTTCGAAATCTTTATAATTTTTAAACCCTTCTTCTGTGAACTTATAATAAAAATGATTTATTTTATACTCAGCCACGGTTGCCACAAAATTAGTACTAATTTTTCCGTATGGTATTCCGGTACCCGTTTTTAGAAAATGCTACTTTTTTGAAGCGCCAACTTTATTGTAATTAGTATTATATTATCCAATAATATAATTTCATGTATTGATTGATAATATAAATGACAATTACCGTATAGATAGAGATTAAAATAAATACAAACTATGTTTAATTAATTATATTAAAACTGTACAATTAACTATTGTGTGCATTGTAGAAATTTATCCAAAATTAAAATCATACTAAATGAGAATTAAGGTCGTGTGCGAGTTAGGCTAGCTTGCTTTCTAAATGAAGGAAATTCTAAGTTGTGCCGATAATGTAGTGATGTGTCGATACGTGTTGATAAATGGCTAAATGTGTGCAGTGCAAAAAATCATCCAGTTGGTTTAGCATCAACTTAGTCCTAAATGTTGCAATTCACATTAATGTGTCAGAGTAAAGCACTTTACGTTTAATCATATGTTTTATATTCAGATTACTTTTTTCTGACTTAATTCTTTCAATATAAATAACAATTATCATATAGAAAGAGTTCAAAAAAATAAAAATAAATAAATATTGAAAATTGTATATTAAAGTATTGAACTATAGTTAGAAGATTTCATTTACATTGGAATTTAATAAATAATTAATAATAATTAACAAATAAATAATTAATTATTATTTAATTCAAATGTTTTTTAAATTTTATTTAAATTTAAAACATAAAATGTTATAAAAAATAACATTACTTAATTATTATAATAATATTTGTTATTATAGTGTAGAAATGTAATTATTAAAAACTGATACTAATATATTTTGAAAATTTTTGTTTTAAGAAATAACTTTAATTATTGCACCTTATATATCAGAAATGATGAAATAAATAAATAATCCTTATATAAATATTTCTCTCGATTTATTAAGACTAAAAAACTTATACTTGTAGTGTAAAAATAATATTTTTAATAAATTCTTAAAAATTGAATGTTTTTAGCTTGATAGTTTTTTAAGAAATAAATTCAATTTTATTATTATTGAATTTATTTTAATAAGTTCAAGATTTATAAATTATTTAATATTTTATGGAATAAGCTGTAAAATAAAATATTATAAATTAATATTTATTTAAATAAATTATATTCTTTAAATTAGTATAAATTAAAAAATTTGTTATAACTTATTTTTTTATAGCTAAATACTGTATTTATTTGATATTAACATATTGTTTTAAAAATATATTTAAATTTATACAGAAATCAAATAAATATATAAAAGTCATGTAATAATATTAATTTTAAAAAATTTTTAAGAATAAAATATTTTTTGTTTAATAGGTATGTAATTTTTGAAAAAATAAATTGAATGTAATTATTATTTATTTGTATTAGTTAAATATTTATAAATAATGACAGTTCTTTTTTTTTTGAACAGAACTAATTACCAATTATATAAAGAAAATGTAGGAGTGTGAAGGATAAATAAAATTTTATTACAAGAAAGCTCCGATTACTTGTATTGAAGAGGTGGCTTGACCTAGTTCCCGATAATTTAAGCCGTAACACCCTTTTCTTTGGCCTCTTACTAGCAATGCACTGAAAGCTTCTCTTCACTTCGATGAGAGGCACTTAGATTCTCTTATCATCCCATCTAAAACTGTGATTTTAATGACTTTGATAGAAGATTCTATAATTAATCTACCCCTAGCGTTAGCATAGTAATCCCACAGGTTCACGTAACTACTCCCTATACTATGCCAATGTATTCTGGCTTTCGAAGACCATTACCTCATTCTGCATATGAAAAACTCAAATCATAGTTTTAGTTTTTATAATAAATACTTCAAAAAACAAATTTAAATTCATTTATAAATTAAAATTTAAATTGAAAAAATTTATTTTATTTGATTGTTTTATTTTCATTATGTATTTTAAATTAAATAAATTTATTTTAATTTTAGTGTAAGTAAATGCATACAGCATATAAGGCAAAATCAGTTGTAGGAAATTAGATTAAATCACAAATATAAAAATCTGTATAAAAATAAATCAAATAATTTTAAAATTTTTAATTTGAGATCTATTTTTACTAGATCGTTTAAAATCATTATTTCGTATTTGAAATAGTTCAAATGATTTAAGAGATTATAATTATTTTGAAATATTTAATATTGAATTATTATTAACAAAACGAATTATTATTAACAAAATTTGTTTTAAAAAAAAATAATTCTAATGTATAATACAAAACAATAATTTAAAAAAAAAATATACATATATAAACACAATTTAAAAATTTATATATATATAAATACAATTTAAAAAAAAGAAATACATATATAAATACAGTTTAAATATATATATATATATATTATATATATATATATATATTATATATATATATAAAATTAAAAAAATAAAAATATATATCTATATAAATACAATTTAAAAAATATTTATATATATATGTATATATAAATACAATTAAAAAAAAATATATATATGTATATATAAATACAATTTAAAAAAAAGAAATATATAATAAATATAAATATAATTTAAAAAAAAAAATATATATATATAAATATATTTTTAAAAAATATATTAATATATAAAATATAATTAAAAAAAAAAAAAATATATATTTAAATATAATTTAAAATAAATATATAGATATAAATATAATTTAAAAAAAAATATATGTACATATAATACAATTAAAAAAAAAAAAAAATATATATAATATGAAATTACAATTAACAAAAAAAATGTACATATATATATATATATAAAGAATTCAAAAAAAAAAAAATATATATAGTATATATAAATATAATTTAAAAAAAAAATATATGCATGTATATATAAATACAATTAAAAAAAAAAAAATATATATATATATATATGTAAATACAATTAAAACAAAAAAATATATATATATATGTAAATACAATTAAAAAAAAAAAATATGTATATATATAAAAACATTTTAAAACAAAATATATATGTATATAAATACAATTTAAAAAAAAATATATATAAATGCAATATAATATAAAATATATATTTAAAAATTAGTACAAAAAACAAATTTAGTTCGCTTGTTGAGACTCGGCAAGGCGAGCACGTAGAGTAGATATTCTTAATGGTAATAGCTGGTACATTTCACGTGAAACCCCAATTTCTGCTTTAAGGGTGTTAGCAGCCTCAGTATGTTTGGCGCATTCCTCTATGAATAGTTTATAGTATTTCAAGCTGTTATTTGATGATAACAATTGCCCTGGCACTTCAGTTGATATTATTTTATAATACAAACGTCCTAAATACATATATGTCATTAGAACATTTCGTTCATCATCCACATCTAAATTGGGTTTCATTGTGACTCCATCTGCTAATGCATATGACTTAACATAGGTTTCGAAATGTTTTATAGCTTTGAGGCATATTTTATTTGCCTTTTGTGCTTCTAGTGTTGCAGTCTCAGTATTTTCCATACTATCTAGCTTTATATCTAAGATTTTCGAATATGTGAGACCAGCTCCAAACCAGCATTCACGGCAAATTGCTAAATAAAATGTGGGATTAAGCACTGCTGATAGTTCCTCGAAATAGGTAGCACGACGTTTTAGCATTTTACTTTGATTTATCGGATCCTCTTCGAAGAACGATACATACAAGTACAAGTCAGCATAGTCAATAATAATTTTTGCATATTCTGTTGCTTCACCATCGATCTTATAATAATCTTTAGCACGATCAAGCCATTTAATAACAAAATGGTAAATAGGTTTAGCATCTTCGAAGGTTAAGCAATAATTAGCAGTAATAAGTTTTTCATATTCATCCAATTTCAAACTGGAGTACTGATAATTTTGAGGATCATTTGATAATTTTTTCAAATCTGTAATTGATATTATTTAATTAAATTAATATTAAGTTGTAATATTTTTAATATTTAATTCAATTCCTACATTTAAGTTTTATTTATATATATCTATTATATGTGTGGAAGAAAATAAATATTTTAATTAAAATTTAATACAAAAAAATTTTTGCTTTAGTTATAGATTTGTTATCAGCAAGAAATTTCAGTTAAGAGATACCCTAATTTAGATTAATAGATATTTTTATTAATATAAATATTGAATTTATAGATATTTGTAATGGATATGTATTTATAAATAGTTTCATCGGGAATAGACGTGTTTATGCGTGACAAGTAACTGTTTAGCACTCAGCTGTATTCTGATCACAATTCAGCTACGACAGTTCTTGCTGTTGCTTCCATTGCAAAAGATGTCCATATAACTATGATAGGAAGGGAGAAGGAAGCTCTACTATCCGTGTTGCTATTGAGATGTTCATCTCTGTGGCAGGCAAGAAGGTATTGCTTGGACAGCAGTTGATTATACTCTTTTGCAAAAGCATTAACGATTCTGTATGGAGATGGACGGCTTGCGTCATTTGATGACAGCCGATTGTAGTTCGAAATGCCGTATTTTGGCATGATTGGATGTTAATCTATTGCAACTCGCAGAGTTTAGTATGGGGTCCATACTAAAACCGCATAGGCCACAATAGGAGGACCTATTGCCTGGTATATGCTCAGTAGGGTTTCTTTATCTTTGCCCCATGAACAATGTGTGAGCGCTTTCAATACATTATTACATTATTACGAGACTTCAACCGACCACACATAGCAGAGGCATGTGTACAAAAAGTCAACATACTCTCGATAAAGCTTTGCTTTATAATATTCTAACTCACAAAACTACATTTTGTATCCAAAAAAACAAAAAATATAAAAAATTATCATATTGAAAATATTAATAGTTGAAAATGCTTACCGTCACTTACAACTTCCATGCTATCCTGTTCCAAACGATCTTTAGAAGCGCACAGTAAGTTAATGCCATATTTTGCCCAGCAACGCGCAATGTCTGCATAGCGATGTTTATAGTTTTCAGTAGTCTCGTTACGTTGTTCTTCGGTCATTTCATCGGTTAACATTTTTTTCTCATACTCCTTGATGACATAGGTGGCAGCTGACAATTGATGTCTTGCCGCCTTAAAGGCATTATGGCCGATATAACATTGCGATAGCGTAGCAGCATTTAATGCCCAATCAATGTGATCCAAATTTTTTGATGTTATTTGACGACGCAGCGTGGTATTGCAGTAGAATGCTGACTTTTCCATTTGTGACATATGCGCATAAACTTGTGCCATAAAGAATGTGCAGTGGGTATACAAATTTTCTAAATCTTCATTACCCTTATCAGGTTCAGTTTCATCAGGTGTGCCCAACACATCGGACAAACTATAAGCATTTTTACCACTTTCTTTGAACGCCTTATACGTATCCTCGGCACGTTTTAACTGTTCGAATGCATATTGGAAGTCGCGGCGATTAGCAGTTATTGTTGCCAAATCAGTAAGTGCGCCAACAAATGGTATGATTGCTTCAGATGTTGTATGCTTCTCTTCGAGCATTTCAACAACCGTCATAAGTAGTCCTTCCGCTCCATTTGGTTCCTCAACGAAAACACATATTTGAGCCAAAGAACGAATATTATGTGCCAACAAAACCTTATAGATAAACTCCTCTGCATCACCCTCACCACCTTCGGCCTGTACGGAAGCAATTAAGTTATCTAAATCTCGCTGTAGTTGCGAGTAACATTCACGTGCGGCATAGTGCGATGTGTACGGCTCATCTGGCGGATCATTTTTGTACTCTTCACTGGTGAGCTTATTTGCTTTTTCAAATAACTCTTTCAAATCTGATAAAATCTCCTTTGGTATCATTTTAATCAAATATTAAAATGTATTAAAATTATCCAAATATATTCAATAGTTCTGTTTAACTCCCAAACAAACAAAACCTACACTTCCAAACTAAACGAGAAAATTTTTTCTTCCATCTGTCAGTTGAATAAACGTCAAACAGGGTTGCTTGCTTGCTTATTTAATATGTATGAATGTAAGGTGTGTCTTATGTCAAAAATTATTTCTACGTTTTTAGTACTATCTATTCTTGAATAATTAATACCGACAATAATTACTAAAAAAAATTTTTTTTGTTTTACTTATCTTTCACATCCATCGAATATTTTGTTACTGCATTTGTTTCTCAATTTAATATGGCTTTTATTTTACTATATATTATATGAATTAAATATATTTTACTACAAATATATATATATTATATATATTAGTGACTTTTCACTGATAGTACATTCACAGTCACTACGATTACGCCGGTCTTGAAATTGCTTTCAAACTGAGTTTAATATTACTTTTTAGAGCGTTTACGGATAAGAATTAAAAGCACTTTTAAGGTAGCTGTCAATCAGTCAGCTGTTAAGCGATAACAAAAATGTTGATTTTAAACATTTTAAGAAAAGATAGAGTAAAACTACAAATTGTTTTAATTTTATTGTAAAAAAAATAGTAAAAGAAAAAAATAAAACATTTCGAACTACAATAAATTTTAAAAATAATATATGAAACAACAACACTGCTGCCTTATTTAGTCCAACCTCTTTGAAATTACTCAAATCATATGGCTGCCAACACTAAAAATTCGTCTATTGTGAACGATTTTTGGAAGTACATACGAAATTTTCAGTTATCTGTCAACGAATAATGTCGTTACTTATTCGTATTTCGTGTCGTCATTGTTCGCAACAAATATGTTATTTTCTCTATTAATAAATAGAATAACATTAATAAATAATATCAATATTAATAAATAATTTTACTATTAAAAGGCATGAAAAATTATATTTTATTCAGAATCATGTTAAAAAATATTCTCATCAATAATTGCAAAGAATTATTCATTATCGAAATTTCAACTGCTTTTAATATGTTTGCGTAACACTTAAAAACCGTTATTTTGGTTATTTTACAAAATTATTGGGGCAATTATCTCTCTAAAAATACGTTTCTTACACTCTCGTGTGGACTTCTTCCCTATAATGTTTCATGTAGGTTAAGTTAGGTTTTACCAGCGATCCTAAGGGTATCCACTTAGGCCTATAGATCCATTGTGCTAGCGTATTGTTAAGAACCCAAAGGTTAAAACCAACTAAAACCTTTGGCAAAGGTTGTAATGCTATTCAAAGAGAGGTCCTGAAGTTCGCCGAGTTCTTCAAAAGAAAGCCCCTAAAGTGTTAAGTGGGTTGCAAGTATATCGGAAGAATATTGTTGGAAACTTATAAAAGAAACAATTCCTACAAACTTTAAGAAATTTGCCGAAAACAAACATGTATCTCAATATAGTATATAATATAATATGTATTTTGCAATAATGCAGTTCCACTTCGACGCGTCATTGGATTTTTATGTAAAATGAAATATTTTAATATTTCATTATTAACATTATAAATGATATTGATATTTTAATTTTTAATAAAATTTTATCAATTTTAAATAATGTAGCTTTGATTAATACTCTTAATTTTAGAAAATAATTTTTTTATATAAAAATAATTTTTTTAATATTTTTGCGGAAGTTCCATCACATTGAAAATTGAAAATGTTAATAAAAGGGTAAAAAATGTTTTATGTGAATATTATTAACTATAGCAGCTAAACCAATCAACTTACATTGACGTTATGTTGCTTCAAATATTCATTAATTTAATATATAATACTATTTGTTCTATGTTGATATTAAAATGGTTTTAAGGGCATATGCAGAGTAATGTTTTGAGAACAACCAAAATAATGGGTTTCTGTGTATAATGGAAAACGATATATAAGAAAAAAAAACTATAATAATGTTTTTTTCAAATTCAACGGAAAGTTTCACTATAGGATGTAGTGAATATAGGTCTCGTCTATGAGAAACAAATTTTTTATTATTTGTAAACCAGTGCAAGTAAATAAAATAAAAATGAATATAATGCACTACATATATATGATAATACTGGATCTACATTTATACCCAAACAAAGTAACATCAATTTATTATTGGAAACTTCAGAACATCAACGATGGATCTACATCTTTATTCAAACAAATTATATTAACTTATCAATTAAATTAAAACAGCAAAACTGACCTTTTATAAGAAAATTTGTTTACAAAAATATAATATTGATTGCATGCAGCATCACTATGCAGCATTCAAGCACTTTTTATACTACGAGTCTCGAAAATAAATGTGAACATTTTTTTTCCTAAAAGATTTTGATTCACGAATAGTTTTGAAGTTTGTATTTAATTAGCTTTAGAGGTAAATTAGAGTTTGAGATAAAGATTTGCTGACATTACGTATTTTGAAATGACATAAGCTGCAGTTGGGAAACATTATCCTCTAGTCTTCGTAGATTAAAATATCGTAACAATATCGTCAGACATCAGACATTTAATGACAGAAATCGAGTAATATAAAGTAGATATGCTGATTTTTCAATTAGTGTATTCGGCCACATTGAAGTGCGGCAAACAACACAAACTCTCTTGTTAAGGTGTTTAATTTGTACACAAGACATCAACATCACGCTCTTGTTCTACCGGAATAGTTATGAAGTCTATAATCATCTAGGAGACCAAAGATAATAATGTCACGATAGCTATAAGTGATCTTTTGTGAATCTTTATTGGAAATTTTATCATATATTCTAGTCATCTATCAAAAGTTCTTTGTTGACAAAAATTCAAACATAATTGCAAGTTACTTATTAACTAAAATTTAAGTGTAAATTAGTTGTCATTAAGTTTGGCCTAATTAAATTTTTAAAGTTTAATTAACTATTCAAAGTTTATTGTGCAAAAAGTAAGTCTTATTAATTTTGAAAACATTATATTTGACAGATTTCTACAGTAATGCCAATAAGCACAAGAATTTAGCAAGAGATTTTAGTAACAGACCTTAGCAAAAGATTTTAACAATAGATTTTATTAAGAAACTTTAGGAAGAGACTTTAGCAAAAGACTTTGCTAAAAGATTTTAGCAAGGAACTTCAACTAGAGACTATAGTGACCGACTTTAGTAAAAGATTTTAATAAAAGATTTAGTAGGAGAGTTTAGCAAGAGTCTTTAGCAAGAGACTTTAGCAAGAAACTTTACCAAGAGACTTTAACAAGAGACTTTATAAAAAGGGCTTAGGAAGAAATTTTAGCAAGAGACTTTAACAAGAGGTTTTACTAAGAGACTTTAGCAAGAGATTTTAGTAAGAGACTTTAGCAAAATAATTTAACACGAGATTTAATTAGAGACTTCAGCAAGACACTATGTAAGCGACTTAGTAAAAAATTTAGCAAAAAATTTAGTAAGAGAGTTTAGCAAGAGTCTTTAGCATGAGGCTTTAGCAAGAAACTTTACCAAGAGACTTTAACAAGAGACTTTATAAAAAGGGCTTAGGAAGAAATTTTAGCAAGAGACTTTAACAAGAGGTTTTACTAAGAGACTTTAGCAAGAGATTTTAGTAAGAGACTTTAGCAAAATAATTTAACACGAGATTTAATTAGAGACTTCAGCAAGACACTATGTAAGCGACTTAGTAAAAAATTTAGCAAAAAATTTAGTAAGAGAGTTTAGCAAGAGTCTTTAGCATGAGGCTTTAGCAAGAAACTTTACCAAGAGACTTTAACAAGAGACTTTATAAAAAGGGCTTAGGAAGAAATTTTAGCAAGAGACTTTAACAAGAGGTTTTACTAAGAGACTTTAGCAAGAGATTTTAGTAAGAGACTTTAGCAAAATAATTTAATACGAGATTTAATTAGAGACTTCAGCAAGACACTATGTAAGCGACTTAGTAAATAATTTAGCAAAAGATTAAAAGTAAAAGAGTTTAGCAAGAGTCTTTAACAAGAGACTTTAGCAAGAGACTTCAGCAAAATATCTTAACAAGAGATTTTATTAAGAGACTTTAGAAACAGATTTTAGCAAAAGTCTTTACTAAAAGACTTTAGCAAAGGTTTTTAACATGAGACTATACTAAGTGACTTAGTAAAAAACTTTAGTACAAGATTAAATAATACAATTAAGCAAGAGTCTTTAGCAAGAGACTTTTGCAAAAAACTTTAGTAAGAGACTTTACCAAGAGCTTTTACAAGACATTTTAGCAAAAGACTTTAGCAAAAGACTTTAGTAAGAGTCTTTAGCAAAAGACCTTAGCAAGATATTGTTACAAGAGACTTGTTGTTTTCTACCGCCTTTCGGAGCAGCCGCATGTACCTCATATTATTTAGGTTACAATGATTTAAAGTTTTTACGCATGCGTTCTTGTAAAATTTTACTATAACGAACTGTTGAAGTTCTTAAACTTAAAAGAAATACTTTTAAGAAATACGGAATTAGCTTTCAAAGTTTTAAAGTTCAAAAAAGCTTTTGTTGCTTATAACGTTATTGCAACAAAACTTTATATTTAACTTTGAAAAGTTGTAAAACTTCATTAGCGCTTTTTCTTTCACAACATAAGCTTTCTGAAACTTTCGAGACTCGAATATAGTGTATCCCACGACATGTTGCTAATCGCTGGCAACATAATTTAACAGTAGAATTGTTTACAAATAATTTACGGCAACATTGCCACAACATTCAGTGAACAGAATAAAGGATTTAACAGCACACAAGCGGCGTCAGTGCATTTTTGATGGTGTCGAGATTTGAACGTGTTTTTCCTCTGGTACAATGGTTCTCGGCTTATTCGCTTCAAAAATAATTCGTAAAAACACTGTGTGTGGACTATTCGAATGTGACTGAATGTTAGTTTAGTTTACTGCTTACATGCAAAGCAATTTCACTTCACAAGCGCAATATCAACATCAACATCAACTAAAGTACGCACGTTGTGCATCCTTTAATAGCAACATGGCGCACATTTCTTAAACTCGTACGGAAGAAACAATTGTTGTTAATTTGTGAATTTTTGAAATTTAGTCACGTTACGGCTG